TGCACTAAAATCTGCTCTGAAACTACACACAGACTTCTGCTTTTGGATAAGATGGAGTCACAGGAACTAGGTTTAGTTTTTACCCGGAACAACAACAACAGAAAACTGGACAAAACATGAAACTACAGTTGGTAATACAGTAGGCATCGGCCAGTGAAAGACAATGAAAGATGTGGAAAAATGAGATAAGCCCTAGGATATATGTTAGGTTCTATTATTATTATTATTTTTCTGAATTCTGTCAAATTAAGTAAAAATCAACTTCTAAAATAATAGAATTTTCTGTGTAAAAAAATAAAATAAAATAAAATACTAGAATTAACCACAGATTTAGAGATTTTACCCCACAAAGCAGTATGGAACAACAAGACAGTGTTATTCCAAAGGTACATCTTCCTCAGTAAACAATTAAAATTAATCTACTACAAAAGTAATAGTATTTTTCAGAAACAATGAACAAATAGCTCCAAAAACAATGTAACAAATGACTGAACATACATCAATGAGCAATGTATTATCAACATTATGTCTGTACGGCACGTTTCATCTCTTAATTAACACAAAAGAGCAAGCCTCCCTGAACAGAAGGAATAGCTGAACCTAGCTGAACCGAAGGACCTAGACTCTCTAACTGCAGTACAGTCATCTAAAATACACACTAAGTATCCTTATTAACTCTCCCATGTCTATTTCTCCAATAGCAGAACAAAGGGAATGGAATAGAAAATCACTGTAAGTTGAACCTCTTTCAAAATTTGACTTATTTCTGTCTACTAGAATTCTTTACTGGCATTAAAATACTACACATACAAATCTAATTTTCCTTAAACTGGTTCTCCAACAATGGCATTACTCAGGCTAGAAAAAAAACTCATGCTCAAGCAAGTGCAGCTAAATAACGAAGATGTAAGAAAAACTACTGGAATATTCCTTCAAAAGCCAAATGATGACTTGATGTGCAAATAAACCATTATAGAGTAACTCCAGTTAATATGTGTCAATGCTGGAGCACCAAAATCTATTCTAGAGAACACTCTCGTGTGTGTGTGTGTGTATACACTCACACACACACACCCCCCTTCATCTCCCTTTAAATTTACAGTCTTAATTAAGAGGGCCCAATGATTTCCTTCCCATTGAAGCCTGCTTATTCCTATGGTCCCTCTTTTAACTTCTTTTTACACTGCCATAGCAGCTTCTGCAATTAAAACCTTCAATTCAGAGTGAGCCTCTAAACACCTGCAATGTTCTGAGAATGGGGTCTAAGTCAGGGGTTGGCAAACTACAAGACTACTTTGCTGGCTGCCTACTTTGTAAATAAAACTTTAAGGTGAAAAATTTACTGGAACATAGTTACACCTTCTATGGACAATTCACATTATGATGGCAGGGTTGAGTAACTGTAACAGAGACCATAGGCCCATGAAATCTGATTTAACCAAAGTTTCCAAGAGACTTTTCAAGGTTTTAGTTATTTCTAAATCAAAGTTTTAGAGAAATGATACTCCCATTACCATTAGTTTCATCACACTCCAATCTCATACTATTCTTAGAAGCACATACTGGTTTTTATTTTTTTATTTTTATTTATTTATTTTTTTTTTGGTTTTTAAAAGTTTATTTCTGTGGGTTTAAAAATTTTGCAATACCGCAAAAAGTAATTAGCCAACAAAGGGGAAGTTCTGGGTTCCTACACATGGAATTCAGAGATTATCCAGGTTATCATCTGGCAACTCTATTTTCTGACTGGGAAAGATAAAGAACATACTTTATTCCATTGTTTCTAAGATTTCTTAAAACTTTTAACTTCTTGATATTGAGATACATTTTACAATCTATGGCATTACACAGTCATTATCAGACAAGTCACAAGCATGACAAAGGCAAATGAAAATTCTCCACTAACGCTTTCCTGTAAGATCAAGAAAATATTAGCATCCACATATCTTAAATTCCATGAATATAGTAAATAAGAGGAAAAAGAAAGAACGTCAGGAGCAGGAACATTATTCTGAAGTAGATTAAAAACTGATGGATGCTGTGGAAACATTTTTGTTTTTTATATGTAAATGTAAGAATTATTTTAAAAAATGCACATGAAATTTGTTTCATAGCAAAATGAATGAAGGCTACAAATATAATACTTCTTTTAATCCATCTGCCATGTCAGAAGAAAGCAAACACAGCTCTTCAAATTCTATAGAATTTAACGGGCCAACTCCTTAAAGTCTGTGAAATAGCAAAACAATCTAAACAAAAAACCCTTTAAACTCATTTTTTAAAGTTGAGGGAATTTCTTAATGTGATGCAATGAATGAAACATTACTTCTATACCACTCCTGACACAAAGAAATAACCTAAATCAAACCATGAGGAACCATGAAATAAATCCAGATTGTTGGATACTGGACCTGAAAGTTTTCAGTTTTGTCTTGGTTAAAAAGAACATTACTGGGACAATTGACAAAATTTGAATTAGGACTACAGTTAGATATTAGGACTGTAAAAATACTAACTTCCTGATATTGATAATTATAACAGAAAACACTAAAGTAGATACAGGTTAAAAGGCACTGTGTCATTATTTCTATACCTTATTCTTCAATGACTGAGAACAAAAATAATTATGTCTGTGTATAAATGTGTACATACAAATATAAGCAAAGAGAGGATGATAAAGCAAATTAGAAATAAAATATTAACTACTGGGGAATCTGGGTGAAGTATATATGGGAGTTCTTTGTACTATTATTTTAACTTTTCTGTAAATTTAAAATCACTTCAGAATAAGAAGTCAAAAATGGATGCAATTTTAAGAAACATGTTCAAAGCAAACTATCAAACCCAAAGAGATTAGCTTATGCCTTTTTTAAACTTTATTATTGCAAAGTTCATCTTCATTATTATTTAAAAGTAACTTTAACATATATAATTTATTAAGTATTTAGTATAAAACTTTACAAAATAAGGACTCTTAAAAAAATAACTCCAATGCTATTATTATTTTTAAATAATTAAAATGAGTTCAATCTCAAGTGAGAAAATACAGTGAAAATACCTGCCAAAATAAGTGGTTCAGTAATAGCTGCATTACTTATCCAGTCAGATTTCACAGTAAGCTTTACTAAATGTTTCAAAGGACACTAGCATAAAAATAAGTGAAATCAGTGGCATAACAAAAAGACAATTATGGCTAAATCTATCCTTCTAGCTTGGATAGAAATAACAACTATAGTAAAATATGTTAATAATTCCTCTTGCTCAACACATATTTTAATATGTAATCCAAGTTCTTAAAACCAAATCTGCTCCATAATACTGGAAAGGAAAGTTTGAATGCTGTGAATTTACTTTATTTAAAAGGGGATCAAAATGTCAACTGCCCACCAAATAAATACACAGGAAAGTTTTTTCTTTCTAAAGGTTACCAGGAACTCAACATAGAATTTACCATGTAGAATAACTTAATTTTGAAGAAAGAAAAAAAAAAAAAGAAAAAGAAATTGTGGGCTAACTCATTTATTTTGAGGCAACAAAAATTTTAAATGTTAAACTGCTAAATCTCAGAAAATTTGGGGGAAATGAAAGACTTTGAAGACTATGATTATAAGAAAAAAGAAAAACTGAGAAAAGGACTTTTCATTGTTAAAAATCAGTAAGGGATTCTCTAAGTCTTATCTGTCAAATAAATGAACAAGAAAATATTTTTAATAAAAATAGAAATAAAAACTTTCAGAGTTAATTCTAAAAGTTAGCAGCTTACTATTTTCACGGTCTGAAAATATGTAATAATGAATGCCCTTAATCACACACATCACTGAGAATGCATCAACGAAGAGTGTTAAATTCGAAGTTACCTTCTGTAAAGGATGACACAAAGATATACACACCAACAGAGAAATTATAAACTGATTAATAAACTAGATATTTATTTCTTTCAAGTCAGATTTAGCATTATTTGGGTTTTTTTAAAAAAAACTTAAAATATACTTTTTTTTAAATTTTATTTTTTATTTTTATTTTTTAGATTTTATTTATTTATTCATGAGAACAGAGAGAGAGAGAGAGAGTGAGAGAGCCAGAGACACAAGCAGAGGGAGAAGCAGGCTCCATGCAGGGAGCCTGACGTGGGATTCGATCCCGGGTCTCCAGGATCACGCCTTGGGCTGAAGGCGGCTCTAAACCGCTGAGTCACCAGGGCTACCCTGAAATATACTTAACATAAGATTTCTTATACTTCTTTTCTATTGCCTAAAACTATAGCATTAACTCAAACTGATTCTGAAATAAAATTGCTTAAAAAAAAAAAAACCTAACAAAAAATGCAAAAATCTAAGAAGACATTAAGAGATTAAACACAAAACATATAAAACAACTGTGGTTTAATTCAATAGTAACTCATAAGAAGGATCAAATTAACAACAGAAATCAAAATCTTCTTTAAGTAGGAACATACATTTATTTTCTGTTTAACACTAAAATATATTTGATAAAGGGGTATTTTAAATTCCAGCTAAATATTCATTTTTTTTCTTTTCTCTTTTTTTTCATATTTTTTAGCCCCCCGCCTCCCACCTCCCTTCATTTTGTTTTTAAAACAGTATAAGGGTAAAGTTTTAAGTATTTCTGTAGTGAGAAAACACATTGGTCTCATTCTTAAACATCTATTCACACTGGGAAAAAAAAATACAAATTTGAACAAGTGAGAGCAACTTGTTAGTTATACTAGAAGTGCCTGACTTACAGGCTTGAAATTACGTATCATTAGCACTTGAACTTCTTTGAAAAGTTTGATTCTATTATAATCTATCTCAATACAAGTTTGAATACTTTTTTTTACAATAAACAAATCAAATGCCACGTATTCTGGGCTTGCTGAAGTCACAACTGGTCAGAAACCTATTTTGCTTCATTCAAGATTAAGATTGTAGTTACACCTTTTTTCAATAGTATGCAAACATTACAGGTAATTCATATAGAATCAGAGCATTATTACTTACATCATCACTCTGCTGGGCTTCTTGCATTACAAATTCTCGGACCATGGATGGACTAAACTCTACTAGATAAGAAAATATATCTGTAGCTGCTGATCTGACTTGCAAATCATCCATGCCCTAGTAAAAGGAAAATTAGGTTAGAGACTGTTAACAAAAATTGTGCTGTGTTCCCTTTCCCAAATCTATGCACATCAACTTTTTGGATTTAGACGTTGTACTGAAATCTTTTCTTCCTTTTCTTTTATGAATATTAAAAAGCTTTTAAGCAGCTCAATGACTAGTTTCTACCAGTTTTTATCAAAACAAAGATTCAGAGAATTTAAATGTAAGAATCAGCACAGGATTATACTATTATACTTTACAAATGTTGTAAAAAATTTTTTTATTTACATATATGCAAAATATGAATGATGTTATCTAGTTAAAGACTTCAAAATTTTCCAGAATCTGTCTTTGGTCCTGGATTTGCCAGTTACTTCTTAATAACTGATTGTCTTCCTTATGACTCTCTTAACAGAGGATGCTTTTGAAAGCACTCTGGATATTTTCACTCTTTGTTCACAGCTTAGTTTTCTAAAGTGGTGATCTTGAATGCTTTTCTCTCTTTAATAGATAAAAGATACATGACTCATAAGTCATTAAATCTCCAAGTGATTCTAAAAACATTCCCTAACTCAGCAATTCTCAAGGTGTGGTCCATGGAATTTTGGGGAGGTGTCCAACACCCTTTTCTTTTGCTTCATAATAATAAATAATACTAGGGCCTCATTGGCCCTTTTCACTCTCAGTGTATCATAAGTATAATGGGGTTTTCCAGAGGCTACAAGACATGTGATATCACAACAAACTAAATGTAGAAGTTGCTATGAGAATCTAGCTGTCTTCTTCTACACCAAATGTTGAAGGGATTGGCAAAAAAAAAAAAAAAGGTGAAACTAGGGACGCCTGGGTGGCTCAGCGGTTAGGCGCCTGCCTTTGGCCTAGGGCGTGATGCTGGAGTCCCAGGATCGAGTCCTGCATCGGGCTCCCTGCGTGGAGCCTGCTTCTCCCTCTGCCTATCTCTCTCCCTCTCTGTCTCTCATGAATAAATAAATAAAATCTTAAAAAAAAAAAAAAAAAAAGTGAACCACCACCAATCTTCTCACTAAATTTTTTTTTTGCTTCTGGCAAATTATTTTTTCACAGAAGTTATATTATTTATGTCAACATGTTTTATTATTTTTCAATGAATTAATAAATATTTTTTAAATTTCTCAGTTTTAATTTTTCATATAATACCAATGGATAAAAATCATATAAGCAAATGTATGAGGACCACCACCCTAACCCACATCGCAGCATGAGCTGCCTTTGTCCAGGCTGTCCTCACTGTACTCACTGGTCTAAAAAGGAAAGATATTTTAATAGTTTCTATGAAACATAATATTGTTACAGGAGATATAATAATCTTGAAAAAGCATGTGGACTTTTATTCACTTGAAGGCGTATTATATGCAAGTGCTTACATATTATTAATATTACAAATTTCAGTTAATAAAAATATTAAGACTGAACACACTTGTAATAATTCACTATCAAATGAATCACAACTTAATAACTCAATATGCATTACTAAAATAAATATTTTCACATACATAATATAAAACTATAAATTCACAACTTCAAACATGAAAATAAACTGTATAATTACCATTACAATTTCAAGGGCAGGAAGAATTCCCAACTTTGCTAAAGTTTTGAAAAATGCATCCCTGTTTTGAGGCTGCAATGTCTGAGAAAATGCACAAAATTCCTTGAAAAAATTAACCTGTAATATCAGAAAGTATAGTGAGAAGTTGACACGTGTAAGAGCAAACTTGGGGCACCTTTAACGTGCTGCTTCCCAGAGTCCCGCCTCCTTCTCAAGGACCTTGATTTTCCAGGGCATACCCGGCTCCTAACGCCTACGTTAAAGGACACATGAAAAACTAGCATCCCAATTAAGTCAGCTTTGCATCATTTTCAAACAATGACCTCTCCAAAGACAGTATGGTACACGTTATATGTGCAGTCCCAGGGGGAGAAGACGCATCAATAGTGCTCTTATGATTTAGTTGTAAGAATGTCACGTAAGGCATGTATTTTGAATTAGAGAAGGTATTTTCACAGAAATATGCTATATAACAAATGCTGGCTGGGTTCTCAGGAAGCTCTCAAAAGTACAGTCCCATATTTAAGAATTGGAAAGGACATTAGACAATCCCCAGTTTAAAGAACTAATTTTATAAATGAGAAAACTGAGATTATTATTAATTACACCAGGATGACTTGGCTGACTTTAAGTCAGCAGTCTTTCATTACTTTTTTAAACCCAGTATCTGATTATAATGTTTAAAATAAAAAATGACAAAAAAAAAAAAAAGACAAACTGCTGATAAACAGCATTACTATATTCTTTCTCCAAAGCATGGCTTATTCTTCAGAAAATATACACACATTCAAAAGAAAAAAAAACATTTCCAAGAAACAAATTACTTATTCATTTATTCAAGAAGCACTGTCCTTACTTTTTCTAAAAAAAAAAAAAAAAAAAAAGCTGTTTTATAATGTACCTATAACCATAAAAACGTATGAATTTGTAGTTCTGTCCAAACATAAACCTCACATCTAATTTCAGGATTTGTGACACACACAAATCCCCTCATTTGGGGGTAGTTGGGGGGGGTGGGAAACACATCAAATACTTTTAAAATTTTGTAAATATACAGGAAGTTTGAGAAACTTTGAGAATAATCATATAGCATAAATATGTAAATTTCATCTCATATTTATAAAAAATTCTTAACAAATTCAATGTTAAAAGCTGTGTATCCCAACAGTAAGTGCTCTTTAAAGGTCTGAATTTCAAGAATAAATAACTTACTAATTCACGCCGTTTATCATCATCTGTAGCTTCATCCGTTAATTGTGCAAAAACTTCAGACAAAAACTTCTCATCTTCCTACATGGGAAGAAATAATTACTATGAAACAGTCTAACAAGAGTATAAACTTACACACATTTGTATAATTTACACAAATTATAATAAAAATAGTTGAAAATCTAATAGTTTCATCATGAAACCTAAAAATTCCAGGGTATATTCATGTTATAATTTTCAAATCCTGACTACATCATTTAATGTTAGTTAGTTATACATGCATTTGCCTTATTTAATCAGAAACTTGAGATATAAAGAACTCTTTGGAAAACAAAAATAACCAGTTATAGTCTAGAAGTCATGCATGAAAACTCATGTATTTTAACTGAGATGCTCTGCAACTCCTGCTCAGAGTCTATTTATTTACTTTTAATTTAAATGTAATTCAAGCAAGTTTGAAGATCTCACTGTCAGTCCGCCACAGATTAGAAAAATGAGTATCACAAATATATGGCATAGGAACAGCAGTAAAAGGAGACTGAATTCTGGCAGTGGTAAGACTGCAAAGTTGTTTTTTTTTTTTAAGATTTATTTATTCATGAGAGAGAGAGAGAGAGAGAGAGAGAGAGAGGCGGAGCAGAGGGAGAAGCAGGCTCCCTGCGAGGAGCCCGATGCGAGACTCGATCCCAGGACCATGGGATCATGACCTGAGCGGAAGACAGATGCTCAACTGCTAAGCCATCCAGGTGTCCCTGCAAAGCTTTTTAAAACACAAGAACTCACGAAATAAAATTATCTAGGGCCTTCGGGGGTACAGGCTGACATTTTCTTGTAGTTTCCAAGGATACAACTAAATGATAAAACACTACAATAACTGCTTTTCACACTGATGACTCTGAGGTATTAAAGGGCAGATGTGTGTTAGTTTCTCTAAGCACTATTTACAAGGACAAAAGTATAGTACATACTGTATAATCTTATTTTTAATATAAACTAGTGTGTCTAAAGTCTAAAAGAGATAAACTTGTTACATATAAACGAGTAAAAATCACTAGAATCACAGATGACATAACATACTCTCCCAATAATCATTCATCAGTGTTACTCAACCACTGAGAGCCAACTCCGTTCATTAGTCTGACTCAGAATGGTCTTTTTTGTTGTTGCTGTTTTGTTGACTTCTGGCCCTTATACACCATGGCCTGAACCATCTGTTTCTGAGAGAGTTCAATTGCATATACAATCTTTTTTTTTTTTTTTTAAAGATTTTATTTATTTATTCATGTGAGACACAGAGAGAGAGAGGCAGAGACACAGGCAGAGGGAGAAGTAGGCTCCATGCAGGGAGCCCGATGTGGGACTCCAAGATCATGTCCTGGGCCAAAGGCAGGCGGCTAAACCGCTGAGCCACCCAGGGATCCCCTGCATATACAATCTTATAATCATTTCTCAAATCACATTTTCTAAGTACTTTTCATCTCAGTATTTTAGGTTTTGGTGAATATGCATTTACCTCCACTTAAACATTTTATAATTTTTTTTTCTTCTTCCATCTCTCACAGATTAAACTCCCTTTCTTGTCTAAAGATTTTTAACTTTTTTGAGAATACTTTCGTAGGAAAACAATTCCAATTCTTTGATAAATGCAATTTCTTCCATGATTATTTGTGTGCTGACAGCTAGAACTGCATAATGTATTAGGGAGGCAATTTCAAGGATTATATACCTGCTATGAGAATATTTCCTAATTCCTACCATACACATATATTTTTTTCTGATTTCCTACTTTATTCTTGATAATATTCTATAAAATCACTCTGTTCCAGTATACATTAAAAAAAACCAGTTAATTGGGGTGCCTGGGTGGCTTCAGTTGGTGAAGCATTTTTGCCTTTGACTCAGATTGTGGTCTTGAGGTCCTGGGACTGAGCTCTGGGTCAGGCTCCCTGCTCAGTGGGGAATCTGCTTCTCCCTCGCCCTCTGCTCTTCCTACACCCAGCCCTGCTTGTGAGCATTCCAAATAAAAATCTTAAAAAAAAAATTTAATTGACAACTTAAAGCCTATCATATAGTTGTAATGTTTCCCTCCAAATACCTGGTTCTCCAAGTAATTATTAAACTAGTATTTTTAGATAAATTTAGTTTTGCTTTTTCATTTAGTTTTAAAATCCTTTATTTTTAATAAAACAATTATTTTAAGACAAATTGTGTATGGCTGCCTCTCTGAATTACGCAAAAAACCTTATGGGGGGAAAAGGGGACTACTTTTAAAAAGTCTGAGTCAAACTTTTCCTTGTAGTAATGTAAAAACAGGACACATTCAAAATCCAAAAACCCAGGAGTGCCTGGCTTGCTCAGTCAGTAGAGCATGCAACTCTTGATCTTAGAGTGGAGTTTGAGACCCATGTCCGATGCAGAGTTGACTTCAAAAACAACAACAAAAACCATCCCAAACCCAGAACCCATTCATCATTATTAGAGTCATGTAAATGCAGAAATTTAGAATTAGACTAGGCTTTAAAAGATTACATACATTGCCTAGTCCAATTCTAAATTTCAAGAGACTAATGCCCAAAGAGTGGACTTTCCTGAGGCTGGCTAGTAACAAAGATGGATTTAGAATCTAGGTCTCCTACACAATCAGGTTTTTGTCACTCCTACCATGTATAATAAACCACAGGACAAATTTCTAAGTAGTTTAAAGTTATGAACCCAAAGTAAAACATAGACACAAACTAGAATAGGCCAAATCTAGTAAAATTTAATATGTTAAATCCAAGATGAAGTCCAAAAACCTCTAAAACAAAATGAAGCATTATATTATTGTAAACAGTTGTTTTCTTAAAGGCATTGGAATATTTAATATATTAATAACTGGGATGAAGGTTAGAAATGTCTTTCTTTAGGGCTGAAATCCACAAAATAAGTCAAAAAAGAACTAAACTTCTGATTTTAATGGGTTTTTAGCTCAACTCTCATTTATGGAATAGTGAAAATATATGTTATATGTTAAATTTGAGATACCTGTCCTCCACCATTTCTAGTGAAGTGAAATTTTGTTCTGAAAAAGATCTTATCTGTAGCTGTCTATGCAAAATAACTCACTTTATTGGCTTTTAGAAAATTAATTTTTAAAACATACTTAAGTAGATTTCTTAATTCTGGGCACATGGGATTTTGATTTGTAGTTAGAAAGTTCAGGGTTGGGACGCCTGGGTGGCTCAGTGGTTGAGTGCCTCCCTTCAGCCCAGGGTGTGATCCTGGAGTCCCGGGATCGAGTCCCACATCAGGCTCCCTGTATGGAGCCTGCTTCTCCCTCTCCCTCTGCCTCTGTCTCTCTCTCTCTCTCTCTGTGTCTCTCATTAATAAATAAATAAAATCTTAAAAAAAAAAAAAAAAAAAAAGAAAGTTCAGGTTAACCAAACTCTTATGCCCCAAACAAGCTTAAGAGAATCTCAACGTGTATTAGAGTACATACCAGGAGCCGGAGACCATAGTAAGTGCTTTCTTTTAATTTCTCAATTAACCTAATTCAGGCTAGGAGTTATGTACCTTTGACTAACTCATTTTGGTCCAGATAGAATTCTTACATTTTTGCTTGCTTATGTAACTCATACAACAGCAGGTTAATACTCACTTAAGAAGCTACAGATATCAGGCCATCATAAAATGAATCACATAGCTAAACACTAAGAAAAAGATTCTCAACTTTTTGGTCTCAGGCCCCCTTTGAACTCTTAAAAATTATGGAGGACTCCAAAGAGCCTTTATTATGTGGATTATGTTTATCAATATTTATAATAAAAACAAACATTTTAAAATATTAATTTGTTTTAAAACTAAGCTATTATAAATCTATGTAAATATTTTATGAGAAAATCTTATAAATTCAGAAAAAATTATAAATTCAGAAAAAAATGGCTTTTACATTTTTGCAAATCTCTATAATGTTTGACTTAATAGAAGAAAGCTATATTCCATTATCTTCTTTGATGTCCAATCTGTTGTGATACGTTGTTCTTCATATACGTTGAAGTATATGAAGGATAATATATGGCCTCACAGTGACAAGAAGCTGGAAAAGGAAAAACTTCACAGATCTCTCTGAAAACGGTTGCAGAAACCCTGAGAACCACTACATGATGGTACACTACAAAAGCTGCTCAAAAAACTTAGTGATATGGACATAACAAAGGCAGTTATATAGGCAGTTATATATATATAGTTATATATAGGCAGTTATAGTAAATCAAAATCTTCAAAATCATCTTTACTACACTGTTAGGGTATAAAGGATTAACACAATAAACACAGTATATAAACTTCTATTTTACAACTCAAGGAGACAGAATAAAACCAACTTCACACAGTAAATAATTTAATTACCATTTCCTGAAAATTAATGACTGTTTCTCAGTCCTGGCTGCACATCTAATTATTTGGGAAGCTTTAAGCACATGCACACACTTATATATACCTCCAATGATAATTAGGGCTCATAAAATGAACTAAATGATAGTCTTAAAATAGGTGCTTTTGTTCAGGATGATGAAAAAGTTCTGGAAATGGATAGTGGTGATGGCTGCATAACACTGTGAATGCACTTAATGTTATGAATTATATACTTAAAATGGTTAAAATGATCAATTTTGTATCATATATATCATTTTTTAATGCATGCAAAAATGAAGTTTAAAAAAAAGCTCCAGCAGAGAACACTTAAAAATGTAAAAGTTGCATTAAGAAAGGATTCTCCTTCAAATACCCATGAGATAAAGTCCTGTTTTCTGTGATTGACAGTATATTTAAGATAAACAAAAGAAATCTTTCAAAAAGGAATGAACACCAGCATAAACTATTATAGGAGGTAAATAACTGGAAAAAAAAATATAAGAACACCTTTGTTCACTTACCTGCAACATGCTGACTATCTCCACTTTGTTGAAGAAAATAAAAGACGTTAGAGTGGAAAGAAAATTCTCCTCAAAAACAGATGGCGTAGGCAAAATGATGTCCTGAATGTACTGTACCCTGTAAGTCTGATGTATTTTTTGCCTTAGTTCAGAGTCTGTTATTGGTATAACTTCCTTAAACTTTGCAGTTTTGGTCAAAAATTCTCTATGCCTTTTTGGCTGAGCCAAAGCAGGGTCATATTCAAGGCATCCCACAACATCCATGATACACTCGTCAGAAAACATTACTTCAAACAGAGTTGCCTTATTTAGGAATAATATTCCTCTAATAATTTCATACAAATGGTGTAAGCCTTCGGTGTTTTCTAGATTCTCACAAGCTTGGAACAGCTGCAGTAGTTTTTTAATATAGCCTTCATTTTCCAAGGCCAGAGCCAGCTTTTCCCTACGGATAGGTGAGGAGAGAACTGAGGTAACTAAGTCAGCAATCTCTTCAAGTTTATTGAGTTCACATGTGGGTAGGTCAATCAGATGACTGGTTTCAGGTATTTCTTCAAATCGTTCTTCTTCTGATTCATCAATGAGGTCCTGTGTGACTTCCACAGATGGATCCTTACCTTGAACCTAAAAACATCCAAGTATAGCTGGTTACCTTAAAATACAAAAGAATTCAAAGTTTTGGAAATCAAATCACTGACCACTGAATTTAAGTAAAAATATATCTTGCAAAGAAACAATACTAGCCACACAGTCAATTGTTAATTAGAAGTGAAGTCTAGAGGGAGAAAACACATCCAGTTTAAATTACTGGAGTCTCAATTTCACCTCTAAATTTCACAACTTAAAACTTGAAGTTAACTCTGATTCTTGACAACCTGAACATTTAAACTGTTACATTGATTTAGGTGATGTTATATAGAAACTACATAGTTGTTTAGTAACTTCAGTATTCCTAATTTTGAATTTTGCAGTTTAACTCTTCTGTGGGTCCCCCAAATCACTCTGTATGACTCTTAATGCACCATCAGATTAAACCAAGAAAAAAACTACTAATTTTTTAATATATATATGTATTTATTTTTACACACACACACACACACACTTTTTTATGAGAGAGGGAGAGAGAGAAGGAATTTTTTTTAAAGATTTATTTATTTATTCATGAGAGACAGAGAGATAGAGAGACATAGGCAGAAGGAGAAGCAGGCTCCTTGCAGGGAGCCCGATGTGGGACCCAATCCCAGGACTCCAGGATCATGTGCTGGACCGAAGGCAGACGACGCTCAATCAGTCCTGAGAGAGAAGGAAATCTTAAGCAGGCTCAATACCCAGCAAGGAGCTCCATGCAGAGCTTAATCTCACAAACCTGAGATTATGACCTGAGCTGAAATCAAGAGTCAGACGCCTACCCAACTGAGCCGCCCAAGGGCCCCAAACACTCTAATTTAAATGAAACTGAAACCCAACTCCTTGCATATTCAAGAGGGAGGAGATTGCCTTAAATTACTTTTGAAATTCACTTTGGGAAAAATACTTACTTTTGCTATGAGCCTAAAACTGCTCTAAAAAAACAAAGAATATTCTTTTAAAAATTGGCTTTCATTTAACATCTGTGATAAAGCCTCCAAGTTACAATACCTAGAAAACATAAATACAAAACTGTTTTATGATTCATGTTGACAGCTCAAGAAAAGCATGGCTAACTTATGACAAGTTTTCTATAATGATTTCTATAGTGATTGTTTAATATAAAAACTTTATAAATGTTTCTCTAATTCCCAACACGAGAGTGTAATTATCCTCTTTTCCCCTCAAAACTTCCAATATCCTGAGATAAAAAAGCTCCACATAATTCCAAATCCACCAAAACTACATGTGAAAAAAGTCCTAAGAGCTTAGAGAAAGTAGAGAGATACACTAGTGCATATAAGACACTTTTTCTCCTACAGCATGAGAGTACTTCTTTTACTTCTGAGTCCTCAACAGAGTAGCTGAGTTTAGGGAGACAGACAAATAAACATAAGAGAAAGGACAAGTAACAGAGGTATAAGAGCAGTTCAGATAAAATACCATGGACTTGATGGGATGAGCACTGGGGGTTAGACTATATGTTGTCAAACTGAACTCAATTAAAAAAAAAAAAAAGAAAGAAAAAAAGAAAAAATACTCAAATTCTTAAAAAAAAAAAAAGAGAGAGAGAAAATACCATGGAAATTCAGAGGAAGGGACATTCCTCCCAGCTCTTCAGGAATACAGGAGTGAGACTGTAAGGAACAAATTATTAAAAAAAAAAAAAAAAAAGCAGTGGCATTTGGACTTTCAATGATGGGTAAGATTCAGATGGGGATAAAAGTCTGCAAAAGGAATAGTAGAGGCAGACAGATGGAAATGTGTGACATGCATATGGCAAACAGCAAAACTGGAAATGTAGATTAAAGCCAGATTATGGAAAGTCAAGCTAGAACACTTGAGTTCAGGGAAGTGAATGTGCAGCATTATCCTTTATAAAGTCAACCTGGCATCAGATGTATGGAATAAATTTGAGAATATAGATAAATTAAGGTGTTATTCCAAAGTCTATATGAACAACTGAATTTGGATAGTGATGGTGGGGTAGATAAGGGACAGGTAGAAAAGAGAGGAGGAACCATGAATTACCCTACAGTTTTAAATATGTCATTAGGAAGATTATGGCTCCTTTAATAAAAACTGGTACATTCTAGAGAGGAATGGTTAGTACAAGCTCAGTTTTATTAAGTTTGAGGTGTCTGAATACCTAGCTTGCAATTAAATCTGTAGACCTACTACTCAGGAAAGAGAATAGGACAGAAAGTAAGAGGACAGAAATTAGGTATTAGGATTAACACTTAAAGCCAGAAGAGTCTGATAGTAACCAGAGAAACAGGAGTAGAGTATGACGTGGGGAAGGAAGAGGAAGGAGAATCATAGGTTATAAAGAAAGAAGAAGAAATCAGAGGAGGGGTGCCTGGCAGGCTCAGTCTGTGGAGCATGTAACTCTTAGGGTTGTGAGTTCAAGCCCCAGGTTGCATAGAGATTACTTAAAAATAAAATCTTTAACTTACACTCTAAATGAATATAGTTTGCATATGTCTCAGAATAAAAGCACAGCTATACAAGCATTCACTGGTGACAATATGTTTATTTCTGTTATCCAGTATAACCCTTACAAGCTTCCTGGACTCTCCTAAATTTAACTCTCACTGATATGATCTGTCAATCCCACATAAACCCAAGTGACTATCTGGATGTCAACAGTGCTGTTCATCAAGTATTTCGGGTTCTCTCCCTTTTGTGGCACGAGTTTTTGCGACAAAGTTATTTGTAGCTCTATGATTTGTTCTGGCCAATGAAATGTGAGCAAAACTGTCATATGTAACTTCTGGGAAGAACTTTTAAAAGCCAATGTGCCGGGCGGCCCCAGTGGCGCAGCGGTTTAGTGCTGCCTGCAGCCCGGGGCGTGATCCTAGAGACCCTGGATCGAGTCCCACAACAGGTTCTCTGTATGGTGCCTGCTTCTCCCTCTGCCTGTGTCTCTGCCTCTCTCTCTCTGTCTCTATGAATAAATAAATAAAATCTTAAAAAAAAAAAAAAGCCAATGCACCAACTGCCATCTTTCTTTCTCACATTGCAATGATTTTGGAAATATTAAAATAAATTCTCTATCAACTGGGTCCCTGAGTGGCTCTGATAAGCACAGCCCCTTCCTGTCCAATTGTACCCCTCACTGGTCAAATAGCATTAAGGAAAAACAAATTTTTGTTGTGATAAGCCACTGAGGTTATAGGATTTTGTTATTGTAACACAATCTAACCTTAACATTCTTAAAGTTAGTCAACTAACTATGCTGAGCACGTTCACAAAAAATTTACACTGTCAGTAGGGTACTCAACAATAATTTCTTTTCCACACTCCTAGCTTACTTCTTTACAGCTGTTGTTTTAATTCTTCCCCCTTTTTAAGTATCAAACACTATTACTTTCTCCTTTAAATCTCAGGAAAGAGAATCTTTCCTTTGAAAGAAGGAGCACTAGTATTCAACATACTCCGACATCCTTCTCCATCTCACAACTTATTTTCACTCATTTCCTTAATCTCTTTCAAAGAAAATATCCTTACCCTCTCATTTTCTGCGGTTAAAACCTCCATATGTACTTTTGACTTTATGCTTTCTAAAAGCTATATATATACAGAAATCAGCTCTAACTTCTTCCTCTCCAATTGTTCTTTCTGCTCTATTATTTACCATTCCCCTTAAAAAATGTATTATTCTCTGGGCTGTCAAATTTTTCAGAGGGGTTCTACTTTCTCATTATAAGGAGTTAAGAAGTAACTGAGTAATATTTTTGTTGAAATTAAAACTGTTTTTTCAAAAGTCAGCAATGACTTCTCAGAAACATAAAGTAAAACATAATGTATGGTTCTGTGGAATATCAGTTGTGAGGAGCTATAAACTAAATGTATGTTTAGCCACATGCACAGATTAAAAAAATATAATACATAGGGCACTTGGGGGGCTCAGTTGGTTAAGCATTTGCCTTCGGCTCAGGTCATTATCCCTGGGTCCTGGCATTGAGCCCCATTTCAGGTTCCCTGCTAAGCAGGGAGTCTGCTTCTCCCTCTTCCTCTGCCCACCACCCACCCCTACCACTCACGTATAATCTCTCTCTCTCTCTGAAATAAGTAAATAAATGTTTTTAAAAATACAGTACTCAGTTGTTTAGTAAAAATTAAACTTCCTGGACCAGGAGAATGGCCAAATCTAACACCCCTTCCAAAGGTGGAAAAGTGTGAGTAAAAATCAGTGACAAATGGGAAGAAATAGTAACAAAGGGCAAAGGAATGAATAAATGGGTACAACAAGAGAAATCCAATATTAACAACAGTGCCTCAAGAAAGGATCAGAGCAAGAGATGATATTCTCTTAGCTCAACTGTATTAGACACCTGGAAAGATAAAAGCCTTATGTTTTCCAAGATCACCTATTCTTGGGACTTGACAAGGTTGAATGGAGGCCTGTAAATAAACCAGATGAGTTATTTCTGGAAAACATAAATTTTATCATACAATACAATGATGAGCTGAAACAATTGTTAATGATGAAGTTAATGATTCTAGTAATGTGCCAGACTGACTTCAGGTTAAGTTCACTACCATACTGCAATATAGTATAATACTAGCATTATTGTTCTACCAACTACCTTAGGTACACAAGCCCAATATTAATATTGATGATCAAATGTATTGAGAAATTAAGTCTCCTCAACAACAATGCTGATAGCAAATGGCAAGAAGAAAAAAACGATTTTGTTAACTGTCAGTTAATTTCTATGCTAAACACTTCTGTATAAGTTATCGTAAGGTACAAACTAATAGATCAAGAAGGAAAATGAGTAATCAGTAGAAAATGTAGAACGTAAATCATGACTTTATCAGACAGATTACTTGTTTCTTTAAATATATCCCTACCCCAGAATGGCTCCTCCAAATATTACACATATTCATATTGATAAATGCTCTGTCAATATGAATACTATACTATAGATGCTTAGACAAATATAATCATTTTGTTGTGAGAGACTTGGTAATGGGGCAAGGGGTGGCCTTTGCAGTCAAGGATTAGTCTTGTCTAAAGAAAGATCTGGCCCTTACCTAGCTCCTGAGAGGTAACCTCTAAGTACTTTCAATATCCTGTCTAGTATGAGTATTTTCTGTTTACCTGGGAGCCTTGGGCTATGCCAGATATTCTATGTGTGGGTAACTAGGTGGTTTATTGTGGAGGGCTTGGGCCACACAGTATCAGCTCAACCTGTGGAGGTGCTGGAAACTAAAGTCAGCCACAGGGCAGTCTACTTATAGGACCAACAACTGATGAAAATACTGGACACAAAGGTTGGATAAGCTGCTCTGGTCAGCAATACTATGTGAAGGTTGCCACACAACACTGCTGGAAGTAAGTGCTATCTGTTTAAGAATCCTGAGAAAGAAAACTGGAAGCTCATGCCTTGGTCTCTTCTATGTGTCTTTTCCCACTGCTAATTTTAATCTATATCATTTCATCGTAATAAACTGTTAACAATAAATATAACAGCTTTGTGGAGTTCTGTCCTTCTACCTGACAATGGTTGTGGGACCTCCTAGACAGCATGAGTGAAAATACTAAGAAACAAATTTCAGCAAAACTTTCTAGGACAGGGGTGGCTCACTGATGGAGCATCTGCCTTTGGTTCAGGTTGTGATCCTGGGATCCTGGGATGGATTTCTGCATCCCTGCAGGGAGCCTGCTTCTCCCTCTGCCTGTGTCTCTGCCTCTCATGAATAAATAAATAAAATCTTAAAAAAAATTTTTTTTTCTAGGACAAATGTACAAAGTCTTCAGGAATATACGTATATTCAGGAACTAATATTAAACAGTACATGTTGATGTGTGGAGTGGGAAGAAATGGGAATAGGTATAACATAATATGTTGATCACTGAAAAATATCATCCACCACAGATGTTCTAGTGGAAATATTATTTAACATCCTAGTTCTAAGTAAGATGTTTATCTTCTGTCTTATTCATTCTTTAAGTATGTACTAAGTCCACACACACATGTTCCAGTTGCCATGCTGGTATACTGGAGGAAGAATACAAAATAAAATATCACTTTTCAGGAACTTGTAATAAAAAAGGTTAATCTTTATATACTATTAATATTCTGAACAGCCATTAAAACACTACAGAAAAGTAATCTTTCCCTCTTTTACTTTTAAAGTTTTTTATCCTTCAGTATGCTTTCATTATTTTCATGGACCAGTTTTACCCCCTATCTTGGGGATGAATGCATGCATGATTCAAGTTTACTGAACTAAGAACAGAGCAGCAAATATCTGTGGCCTGTATGTGTCTAAGTCTGCAATAGAGGTCATTTTTAGATCTTACAACTCACTTTACAGAAAACTCTGCAAACATAAAATTCAATCCCAATCTGTGGAGGGCATACAAGGAAAAAAAAAAAAAAGAGTAAATATTAGGACCTTTTCATCATCACCACCCACAGGTTTAAAAACAGGCAAAACACGAAGGCAAAATAACAATATGGATTATAGTTTTATGTATATTTTACAAATTAAAATAAACTATTATTTACCAGTGTTTTCACCTGTTCATCAATGGAAATTCTTCTATTTAATAGTGTACACTAATAATGCTCCAGTAATACATGATACATACATAGTAATATATAAGGTGGAAAGAAACCATCTACTTCCAGTTCAGTTTTGTGACCTAGAGCCATGCGTTAAATAAGGTTTACATAGAATGGGGAGGTTCACATTATACTTCCTTGGGCTACTGGGCTACTTTATTGCACTGTTACTCGGAGGACTAAGGGAAAAAATACTATGGTGAGATGCATTAAAACTACAAAACCTTCAGTGATCAGAATCACTACAGAGTAAAGCTGATAAAGTGAAAATGACAGGGGCGCCTAAGTGGCACAGTCGGTTAAGCGTCTGCCGTCAGCTCAGGTCCCGATCCCGGAATCTGGGGATCCAGTGTCCTATCGGGCTCCCTGTTCAGTGGGGAGTCAGCTTTTCCCTCTGCCCCTCAATCTGCTCATGCTCGCTCTATCATAAAAAAATAAAATCTTAAAAAAAAAAAGGTGAGAATGACAAAAGTCAAACACTAGAACAGAATATACTAGGCAACTGCTGAAGACAGTGATCCCACTTACAGAAAACAATAATAAAAATGAATATTATGATTAATTTAAAATTCCAGTTACCAGTGTCACAGACTGTGCCTAAAGAGATATAACTACTAAATAGAATATGGTATCTTGAATGGAATCCTGGAACAGAAAAAAGACACTAGGTTTATTTTAAACAAAATCTGGGGCCCCCTGGGTGGCTCAATTGGTTAAGCATCTGACTCTTGATTTTGGCTCAGGTCATGATCTCAGGGTTGTGAGATTGAGCCCCACGTTGCACTCTGTGCTGGGCATTGAGCCCACTTAGGAGTCTCTCTCTCCTTGTCCCTCTGCCTCTGTCTCTCCCCTGCTCATTCATGTGCTTGCTCTAAATAAACAACAAACTGAGGATATCTGAATAAAGTATGGCCTTTAGCTAATAATAATGTATAAATAATAATAATGAATAGTAATAATAATATATGAATATTAGCTCATTAATTGTGACAAGTGTATCCTAACATAAGAAACTACTAACAGAAAAAAAAAAAAAAAAAAAAAGAAACTACTAACAGGAGAAACTAGAGAAAGTTGTGTTAGGGAGGGAAGTCTATAGGAACTTCCTCTGCATTTTCTGCTCATATTTTCTGTAAATCTGAACCTCTAAAATAAAAACATTATTAAAAAAAAGTTCCAGGAGCAGTTGAGTAGCACAGTGGGTTGAGCATCTATCTGATTCTTGGTTTCGGCTCCATTGATGGTCTCGAGTCCTAAGATCGAGCCCCATGTTGGGCTCTGTAAGGAATCGGCTTGAGATTCTCTTTCCCTCTGCCCCTTCCCACCTGTGTGTGTGCTCTCTCTCTAAAAATAAATAAATCTTAAAAAAGTTCCAGTTACCTGAGAGTTACCACTTATCTTATATTTTGCTATACTCTAAGTCATGAGCACTTTTGATATTAGTGCCTGGCACACCCTATTCATAAACATCAAGCAAACAGGTGACCAACTATTAAAGAAAAACCTCTAGACTTAGAAAATATTTACACTTAAAAAAAAAAAGAAAACAACTTGACCTTTTATTATGAACATTTGCTATCAAAAATAAAGTAATAAACACATTATTTCTCCACACTTGAATACATATCTTTCATGTAAAAAAAAAAAATCAAGAATGCAAACATATTATTTAAAAAACCTCACCTGACAAATTTTTTCCCAGATCTCATCGCAGCCAGCTTTTTCCTGAAAACTCAGAGCCAGATCATAGTTCTCAGCTTCCGACCAAACAATTAATGTATCCTGTTTAAAAATAAAGATTTTTACATCATCACACAAGAAAAAGCTAGAAAAGAAATAACTACGAAGTATAAATAGAAATCAAGAGGACAAAAAACAGCATAGCAATGACAAAAGCCCTCTGATGAGTGCAATTAATATGTAGTCAATTGACATCAGGTTATTGTATTTTGTTATCCTTCAAAACTTAGTAATATACTGGCAGTGGAACAGTTTGGGTACTAAAATGATAATTTTCTAAAACAAAAAATATTAAAACAGATGAGTAGGCACTGGCTTATGTTACCAACATAACACTGAATGGAAAGTGGAGCCATTCCCGGCCAAAATGTAACGTAGACATTTTAATCCTCTACTCTCTATTCTAAATCTGGAAAAGCCTTCAGAATATGAAGGAATTCAAAACAATGATGACATGAAGATACTCTAGCTCTAAGTACTACAAACAGCACTTATTTCAGCAGCTCAATTTGTAGAAAAATTAAGAACCCTAGGTTTAGTATTTTTCTACAAATGTCATTAATAGTATCCCTACAAAAAGTTAGTTAAGCTTTTAGGAAGTTGTCACCTCTCTACTAAAAACTAAAGTTTGGGTTTAAGTTAAAACATAGACAAGTTTAAACACAAAAATCATTATGCAACACTCAAATGAAATGGCCAACTTTTAAAGGATATGTAATAATGAAAGGTTAATATGGTTAAAACTTTGATTTTCAGAAAATATGCATTTAAGAAAAAAGAAAATATACATGAGTTTATATCCTAATTACTAAGTATATAATCTACGAAATACCTTATAATTAACAATTATTCATCTAATACTTCTATTATGACTTGATATTAAAAAATATAATACTAGGGACACATGGGTGGCCCACTGGTTGAGCATATGTCTTTGGCTCGGGGCATGATCCTGTGGTCCTGGGATCAAGTTCCGCATCAGGGTCCCTGCATGGAGCCTGCTTCTCCCTCTGCCTAGGTCTCTGCCCCTCTCCCTCGGTCTCTCATCAATAAATTAAATTAAAATATATATATATATATATATATATATATATATATATATATATATAATATTAAAAGCGAGCCTCAGATTAACAAAGTCTTCAAAATGAAAACACTTCAATACTCTGGTAGCTCTAATCTGTAAGTGAAAAATAATCCGTCAATTAACCCAGGCCTCAGATAAATACTTACTTGCTGTGTAATCAGGTAAGAAGAACAGCCGGAAAGCGGTGTTCTCCCTTCTGCCTGGCTGTGCTTCTCGGAAGGAAAATTTGCCACCAGGTATTCTAAAATTTTAATTTCCAATCCATACTTAATGCCTTTTAATAATTCTGAATTTGGGGGGAGGGGAAACTTCATGAGTTGTATTTTATCACTGTGCATTATCACTTGTCTAATAGATTAAACTAGAATAAATGCCAGTTTTACCATTATCATGTTCATTTGCCCTTACATTACGGTTTTTAGCCCTTTGTAAGGCACATGTTCATTTTGTTAGGGTTACAGGTCAGTTTACATTGGAAAACATCTATAAATAGTTAGCTGCACATGCAGGCTAAAGTAATTCACAGTAGTTAGGAAACACTTTTTATGGAAGTGTTACTCTTAGAATACCATGTCTATTTTTTTTTTTTACACTTCTGATCATTTATTTGCTTATTAAATATGGGCAAAAGCCAATGTTTTCTTCTGATTTAAATGTACAAGCAGGCTTCTCAAATTTCAATGCTTTATACCATACATTCCATTTTGGAGCACTAATACAACAGGATGAAATCCAGAATCTTTTATCCAGGCATTCAAGGCCTTTTCCAACTTGGTTCCAATCTATCTTCTGAGAGAAAGTCAGATAAAAGCAATGAAGTCTGACTTTAGGTAACTGAGTCCCCTTCTTCACCAACATTTTCTTGACTGTTTCTTCCTATTCTTAACGTAAAGTCTTCTCCCCAAGCCAGTCAAAACCCCAAAGTAAACGGGATTTATATTCAGAACCATTCTTCAATGTAAGGAGGACTGACCTTGGGTGATGGTTAAATATACAGATCCCCATGCTTCTCCCCTGGGTAAAGGTCTGCAGTGAAGACCCCAAATCCTTATTTTTAACAAGGGTCTCAAATAATTCTTTCGATATGTCAAATTTGAAAACATCACGTAAGTATATCTCTCGTTGGCTAACAGAGGATAGGAAACCATCAGAGCAGGCACCTTCCAACTCTATGAAATGTACTCAAAATGGGTGACAAGTCTCATCTTTTCTTCTTCCTCTCTTTGGAAACCTACTATTTCAGTCAAAAAATAACTGTAAGAAGCACTTCTCAAAACTGCTTATTCCAAGGATCACAATAAAAGCTTCTAGGTAAGAGAGCACAAAGCTGGCACAAGAATATTTAAAACAATAAAAAGTGTCAAATGGCAGGGTTTCCGACATCTCTCAAAAGTAAAACTAAATTTTGTAGTAGGGTCTGTCTTCAACTGCTGTGCTCTTTGTGTTGTGTTTTTTTGCTCATTTGTGCATGACACACAATCTTTGGGATATTATTAATACCTGTTTTAAACTAAGAAAAGCTTAGAGTTTTCCTCTACAACTTAACATTTAATCACCACTATGTCCCTATGGAAATCAAATTTAAAATAAGAGTGCAGAGAGGATAGAAAAAGTCAGTTATACTTAGTCTGGTCCTTTAAAAAAATAGGAAAGGTGATTAAATCTAATGCCAGAATGGAAGTCGAGACATGAGCTGGAGAAGCTTGATAATTTAGCTTTTTACTGAATCAGATTTCACAACGTAGTTTTATTATGAGAAATGGTCATTTTCAATCTTAAATATTAATACATTCTTGAGGTGAATACTGTTTAAATCAAAGGTTTTCGATCCAAAATCTAAATGACACCTTAGAATTGTACCTAAAATTTGGTTTTTAACATCTTTTCTGTGGAAAGTCTCCAGTTTTTACATTATACTCACACAAAGGCACCTGTGACACATTTTAAAAAGTCTGCCAAACCAATGGACTATCAGTTTCAGTATTCTTCTCTAGTACATTAACGTGAATAAAATCCACTAATGAAATATTTGAGATCCTTGAGATCCTGCTTGTCAAATTAACCCTATCTCTGCCCTAATAGCTCTGATGGAATTCCATACAAAGATGAAGTTTTTCAAAAGGAATACTCATCTTTTCAAAAAAGGAAAACAAATATCAGCAGATTCGTAGAATTCAACTTGCAGATTCAAAATCAACTTAGAAGTCTGAAAATGAGTGAGATTAACCAGCATATAATGCAATATCTAACTGTCTAGTTGTTCCTAATGGGAGGTTGACCTAAACTTTTTCTGAGACAGATTTTTTAAAATAAAGTATGATATAACATAAAGTCTAAGACCTGAGGATATTGCTAAAAATACTAACATCTTCCTAAAATCAGTAATATATTTGGGTATAATGGGAATAATCCAGACTAGAAATAGGGCCTGAGCACCACTCAATTTCACTGTCTACTATTTCCATGACTCAGCAAAATAATCTGATTTTTCTTTTCTCATTGGAAAAGAGGATTATGATGAGATTATTATAATTATAGGTTTCTTATTCAATTTATGTGTCAGGTACTATGCTAAAGCATTTTTTATACATTAATCCACAAACTATTACATGATATAGGTAGTTTCTTCATTTAGAAAGGTAAGATTCAGAAAAAATTTGCTTAAAAATCACAATAATGAAATAAAAAACTTAAGAGTATTCAACTCTAACCCCATGTCGTTGGCAGCCCTGGTGGCTTAGTGGTTTAGCGTCACCTTCAGCCCCGGGTGTGACCCTGGAGACCCAAGATCAAGTCCCATGTCAGGCTCCTTGCACGGAGCCTGCTTCTCCCTCTGCCTGTGTCTCTGCCTCTCTCTCTCTGTGTCTCTCATGGATAAATAAATAAAATCTTTTAAAAAAACAAAAACAAAAACATAACCCATGTCGCTGCTACTATACCCTATAAAAAATGTGAACTATACTAAAAAGACACATAGTTCTCAACAACTTGCTTCCCAACCTTTCTGCTTCTAGGTATCTGTCTGGACCCCTATTTAAGAACCCTCTCCATCTGATTTCCAAGGATTCCTCTTTAGTCCCACTCTAAATCACCAACCAGAACATACCTCTGGCCGTTACTGCCAAATCTTTCCAATTTAGTAATTCATGTCCTCTACTCATGCTCCTAATCTATAGTTAGAATAGACTATACTCATTTCAAACTCATACTATTATTTTAACTCAGCATTCAAAATTATAGCGAATCTCCTTCTTCTATACTAATTACATTAGACTGTTCCCCACAATGACTCAGTTTTGTAAAACCCCAGGTCCCCAATTTTACTGGAGATAAAAAGAGATTCAATATGACCATTTTCACCTCAATCTTGATCTTGGCATTATGTTCTTCTGGCTAAAACCTAGAATAGTCTCAATCTTTCCCTTCCAGGATATGAACAACCATTTATTGACTGAACCCCCTTTCCTTACCAAAGTTGTTCTCCCTTGGTTTCAAGACAGCATGTTTTCCTAATTCTCTCCTCTTTCCAAATGCTTATTCTTCCTCTTGACTAGATCTTCTTCCTGATTACCAAATACCTAACCCTGCAGCACGTTCTGTCAATTCTATCTTCCATATGTATCTGAAATCCATCCACCTCTTTCCATCTCCACTGACCCTAAACTTATTCAACATTATATCTTGCTTGGATTATGTTGTGATCTCTCAACTACTCTCCCAGTTATTGCTTCTCTCCAATTCTATACACTGATGTTACTAGTTAGGATGTCATTCCTCTGCTGAAAATTTTCATAAGCTTTCAAATGGACTTTAAAAATCTAAAGGGGAGGGGGTAAAAAAAAAAATCTAAACCAGAGATAGTGAACAACCCATAAGCAGCACTGAAGTATTACTGGATGAATGAATAAATGTGGACAATTCAACAAGGCTGTCTTATGCTCTGTTCTCTGTTCTTTTCTCAAATTCCACCTACTCTTTTGAAAGAGGTCCACTCTTACAGCTAAAAATAGAAGTTAATGATTCTCAAATTAGAATCTTCTGCACCAAGTCTTATTCTCTCTAGTCCTAGATGTTCACTACAAGACCTTTTCATTTATTTTATTATCATTTCAGAGCCTAAGTTGGGAGGCGGGGGGGGGGGGGAGGTACAGAAGAGTATACAGTATGCTACCATTAATACCAATAAAAGGGAAAACATATATGTGATTGCATACCTGTTTGTTTAAACATGCATAAAACCTACAGGAAGATATTCAAGAAACTGGTAATACTGGTGGCCTCTAGTAAGGGAAACTAAGAATGGAATCCAGAGTGGGAGTGACTTCACTAAATACTTTGTGAATTTTTACAGAAATGAATATATTATCTATTCAAAATAAAGAAAGAGGGTTTGTTTGTTTTTTGAAATGAATAAGCTGCTAGCCAAATGTAAATGTAAACTTGTTTTCCTCTCAACTTCTCACTTTCTGGAGAGAACCATCATTTTCATGGCCCCAAGACTCAAAACACTACTAGTGACCCTTGATTCCTTCTCTTTCATATTTAATCATTTAGCAAATCTGCCAGCACTTTCTTGTTATTATAATGAAAATCTATTTCTTCTTTACAATTCCATTTACTACTTACAGACTTACATTTTTCTGGATCTGAATTATAGTAAAAGGTCTTGTTAACCTAAAGCTCTTATTTCCCTCTCCGCCTCCAATTGATTATTCATGACATTGCCACGCTTGCTTCCTAAACCCAGTATCACTTTCATCACTTTAGGCCACTACTCGAGAATCTAGAATAGCTCCCTCTTGTTTAGTAAACCAAGCTCACAAATAAGAAACCTCCACCTCCGTTGCAAAGAGACTTAGTAACTTTTATGTCAGGTGTACTATTTCCTTCCCTATCACCATTCCTTCAACAGACACCACCAAGGAGAATGAAATTTTTCTTAATGATTCTAACTCAAATCAATCCCTTCCTTCTTTAATTTTCTACTGTCCAAGTCTGTGGAATAAAACTGCTTTTTATGTATTTTGTGTTGGCACATACCTCCTGTATTATCTCAGTCAAGAAACCTGACCTTTTGTGCCTTAACTGCCTCATCTGTGAAATACTTTCATGGTCTTTCAATAATGACTGGGTTAAAACACTTCACCAGCTATTTTATTAGTTATATAATTGTTTCATTTGTTATGTCTTGTCTCCCAATAAAACTATGATGTCTCCCAATAAAACTTCCTTATACTTCTCTCCTAAACCCAATTAATACAAATTATATTAAATATAAAGGGTATACATTCCTATGACTCTGCTTTTGGTGGTCTAGATCAGTAGGAATGATTCTAAGTAACTTAAAATTTTGACATGTATCAGCCACTATTTCATGTTCCACTGTATAATCATTTTGTTTCCAGTGTGTTTAAACACTTAACAAGTTATTGGCTCCTTTTAAGTATATCTTCTTCCCATTAGCAACTTCAGTACTGCCCATAGTCCTGAAGCAAGAGTGCTGTAAATCGATGATCTATCGATATGGAGTCCTTTGACATTCAACTCAACTCATTCTAACCTATTCTGAGCCCATAATTCAGGACTTGGCTCATTTTAGCACTATAGTATTAAGAAACAATGTTTAGTCGGCTTTGAATTTATTCAATGTATTTTGTAGCAAAATATCCTATAAACTATGAGCATCTCATTCACTCAAGTCTTTTTAAGATTAAAAACCTGCCAATGATCAATATATTTCATATAAACTTTGGAAATGAATTATTTTCTGGACTAATTTGAGTAACTTAATGATATTTTAAAAAGATAACTCTAATGAACACAAAAATATCAATGTGTTTGGAAATCTCAATCTGTATAATCTGGTAAAAAGTGCAAACTGAACAAGATTTTGGCAAAAAAAAAAAAGTATCTCTAAAAAGAAACTAAGTTTAATGTAATCCTCAAATTGCTCTCTGGTTCTACTAGAAAAGTGCATTCAATTCAAACAAAAATAAAGAAAACAGGGACGCCTCAATAGCTCAGTGGTTGAGTACCTCCCCTTCGGCCCAGGGTTTGATCCTGGAGTCTCAGGATAAGTCCCACATCGGGCTCCTTGCATGGAGCCTGCTTCTTTCTCTGCCTATAAAAATCCTGATAGTATATTATTGAAACATCATTAATTACAGGAAACATTCTCCCAATAGTATAAAATTTCAAAAATAAGTACTTTTTTCTTCAGTATGTTTGTTTTCTAGCAGAGTGATATTATTATACAGAAAGACATGTTCCAAAGTTTCTAATGAACCACCATGTATTTTTTTAGACTAAGGTTGGAGGGCTGTTTTATACACAAACCTACACCATTATATGATCTTTCCAACAGTAACAATAGTTAAAGTATCTTATATACAATCTGAGAAGAATCCATATTATAATTAAATTGTAGGGAGTCACATTTAAGAACACAGTTCCTGAGAATTTTATATTTGTGCAGGGGAAGATAAAGATTATAAAACAGTATTTCTTTCCTCACAAAAAAGGAGGCCAACAAAAAATAAAACCAAAGTGGCTACCTGGTAAAATTCCATGCAAAGAGAAAAAAACCATCTGCTTGGCTGACTTAGAAATTAAATTTACTTAAATGTTTAAGATACAGGAAACATTTTTCAAGTGGTCAATACAGGGCAAATGTTTGATTCTCCATCAAAGACATGCAATATTTTCTACGCAGAGGGAAAAAAACTATTAACTGAGTATTGAAAATTTAAATATTTCAAAGAAGTGATTAAAAATGTATTGCATACACAAAACAAATTGTTTAACAGTAAGACTTTTACTAATAACGAGCTGAGCAATGGACATAATTTCATTCCTCCAATTTGAAGTTATTTATTTCTGGGCATTTAAATTTTCATTGATCTTGAAGAATGTAGGTATTGATGATGTAAATACAATCCTAAAATAATTTATCTTTTCCTTCAAAAATCTCTGCAATATTCACTTTACATACCACACACACACATACACACCTGGAAATAATTCAAGTGTCTAACAATAGGTGGTATCAACCAGAAGAATACTATACAGTTAAAAAAATAAACTAAACTAAATCTACATTGTTAACATCAACAAATCTTCAAATTAACTGTTGAGTGGAAAATGAAAGTTCAGAGTACATGTAAGAGCAAGAGATCAACTGTGCAAAGTTTAAAAACATACAAAAGACTATATATTATTTATGGATACATACATAGCAGAAAAGGTATATAAGCACACACAGAAATAATACATCAACTTCAGAATTGTAGTTACCTACAGGAAAGATGGAGAATGGACAGAATGAGACAGGCACAAAGAGGGGTTTAACTCCATCCACAATGTTCAACATTACAAAGATTTGAAACAAATACGGTATAAAGTTAACATTGTTAAATTTGGTGGTGTTACACAGACACACACAGTATTTCCGGCACTTTTCAATTTTGAAATCTTTCATAATAAAAATGAAAACATTCACAGGAGAAGAGGTTGAATCACTGCTGCCATTTCCAGATTAAATAACTGGGGACACTAAAACACAACACAGGTATTCCCCCGCCCCTCCCCCTGCAAAAGACGGTAAATATTAACAGACAACGTTACATGATGCACTTTTATAAAGTATCCACTGATTATATTAAAAATATACAACAATTAAAGAACAGGATTCAAATGCTTCTACTTCAAAAACTCTACCTTTGCTTGAGTCAAAGGATCAAATTTCACACCACAAATAGGCTTTCCTTGCTTTAAAGAGTATCTCTTTGAATTTTCTTTTATGTCATTTCCTTTAAACGTGATTGAGAATAAAAGGTTTAGTGTACAGGGCATAAAAGATACCTGACTATCTGTAGTTAAATAAGATTAATGAATACACTGTATTCTAACATAAAATAACAGTGGCTCAATTCAAAGATAATAAATGACTGCCAGTACAAAAACTTTCACTTTTCAGTTTGAAACTTTTCACCTACAGGGAAATACAGATAATGTGCAACTGTTTACCAAACATGTTTTTTCTTGTCAGGAAAGCTTTCCCATCTTTGTCAGATTAACACTTCCTTGACCACAGATGAAATCTTTCAAATCAAAGATAAACAACTACTTGCCTGTTGTTTCTGATATGCAGTGTTTGGATTTATCTTTGACTCCAAGAGTAGTGATCCTGAAAGATTAAAAAAAAAAAATTGTAAGTTTAACTTTGTAAAATTTTGAATAAAATATCAGAATATGAATTTAAAAAACAAACTTGTGTTCTCTTCCCTTAGCTAGACATGTGAAGTAATCAAATGTATCCTGATTCACATTTTTCTCTCCAGATCTGGGCTTCCTATTTAATTTAGAACACACCATCTTATGCACCCATATGCCCTTAAATGAAAAAAACCCCATATGCCCTTAAATGAAAAAATCCATCTAATATCAACATTCAGACCCAAAATATAAGGAGACTAGATGTCCATTAAAATTTTATTGAGATGAAAATTTTAAGGTCTAAAAGACTACTTGAAGCCAAACTTTTTAACAAAGTTATTTTATTTCATTTCCAGTTTAACAAATAAAACAAATTACAAAGGACCACAACAGGAATCTAAGTACTTAGTTACACAAATTACAGGACTTCATTTATCCTTTTCTCCTTAACAGAACAAAGGACATTTCATATAGAAATAAATGTCCGTAACTATTTGAAAGGGAAAGTGCAAAAGTACAAAATACAAGAATAAATCTGGGATTGTTACCTTTCTATTATCTGCACATAATTGCTCAAATCGAGGCGTTCAGATTACAGTGATAAAGGTTTTAATTATGCTCTACACTTTTAAATCTAAAAATACTTCACACAGGACTCGCACAATAAATTAACGGACACAAGTTTACAATCTGCTCTGGTGTCCTAACTTGTTTAGGTTGTAAAGTAGCCTGGGAGGCAGCCTGGGAGGCATCCAGGCTACAGATATGCTCGTGCGTGCATGTATCGTGGCAACCGTCTGCAATAACCGCAGGAAAAGGTGTCTTTTGGTTTTCCCCAGCACCTGTCCACTAGGGCAAACTCACGGGCTCGTGAGTAAAACTGGGTTTAAAAAAAAAAATTTAAAAAGCCACTCAGAAAGTATAGTTTCACTGAGTTTTTTGAAACAGATGTATAATAGATAAGAAAACAAAAATAAAGGGAGGGGGAGGGTCAGCTCCCTACAACGAGAAGAGAACTACCCCGTCTCTCGTTACTTCCTCCCTTCTCACTCTCCCCTCTTCAGAGGCGAGCCTGGAGAGGAAGGGGTCAAATCCTGAATAGGGACAGGAGGCGGGGGAACAGAATCAACGTCTCACTGAGGGAAAACCCGGACAAAGTAGTTTGTTTTTACCGTACAGAAGTGCAGGCACAAAACCACTGCGCTGTCCCAGATGTGGTAGTAACAGTACCCGGCCCAGGGCCTAAACCACCGGGGCGATGCCCGCACCGGAGGCACCGGAGGCACCGACTGTCCCCTATCCTATGTTCCAATAACCTTACCGTCGGACTCAGCCCGAACCAGCAGCGACATCCCCTTGAGCTCCTCCACATAAGTGGACGAGACATGCCCGGTGCCTCGGTCGTCCCACTGACGGTCTTCGTTGAGGGTATAGACCTTCACTCGCCGCCGCGTATCCGACATGGTGGCTGCTGTCCCCGCCGCCCCAGCCGCCGCCTCCTCGCTCACCTCGTCCGCGCCCCTCACTCTTGAGAGACGGTTGCGGCGGCGGCGGCGGCGGCGGCGGCGGCTCCGGAGAGGCCCGAGTTCACCATGGCTCCCAAGGTTCAGTCGCGGGAAGGGGCAACAAGAGTCACCGAGACCTCTCCGCCCGGAGTCCCGGTTACCTCGCACTTCGCCCCCGCACACACCCACCCTCCCCTCCCTTTGCCCCCCAGAGCTCGCTCGCCCGCCGCCGCCGCCGCCGCCGCCGTAACTACTACAGATCCGCCATCTTGTAACCCGATTCTCTCTGCCTTTCTCTTCCTCCTCCAGCAGGCTCGCACGGGCTGTCCTAGCAGGGGCTACGGCGGCCGACGAGCCCAACGCGCGGCACTTCTGCTTTCCGCACGCGCTTCCCGAGCCGGCAGTGCTCAGTGTTCTCGCGAGGCGGGGTACTGGCCCTAAGTGGGAGGGTCTAAGTGCGACTTCCTCTTCTCTCGGTCCCGCCTGCTGGCGCGGGATCTCGGACGGGTGGTCGGTTCTCGCGAGTTCCTTTCCCCTCTGCTGCCGCGAGACTCTTCCTAGCCCGCGGCGAGAGCGGAGTCTCGGATCTTTCTTTGGGCGGTTGCCGGCTGCGCCTGGGGTGTGACGAGCTGTGTGGGATCCAGCTGTGAGGAAAAAGTAAAGCATACCTGGGAGGTACGCATGGGACTAACCCTGAGCAGAAAGGAAGGAAATGTGCTCGCACTGCTTAAGGGAAGCTAAACCTGTCAGCCTGTGGGAGAAAAATAATTTAACTTTTTTTCTGTGAACTTGTAAGAACTTTGAGCCCTTGAAGCACGGGGACCCGAAGCCCACTAAAGCTGGCTGCGGAGCCTCGCAGAGTCCACCGTCTCCTCAGGAAGTGTCCTGTGGATCTCCAGGCGAGTATGGCGCGGTGCAGAAGTGTGTTGACAAGTTCCTATTTCCCGCCAGAGCCCATCACTCCCTGTTAGGCATCTGGGAGCTGGCCATTGAAAAGCCTACTTTCCACTTCACGGAAGTGCTGTGCTCTCCCCGTGTTTGTACCTCGGAAAATAAGTCTCCAGAGACTCTTAGGGAAGCAGAGGGGACCTGCCTTCCTAACACATCTAAGAGCGTTGTTTTTGATATTTTTGAGTTGCTCTTGCGAACGTTTCTTGCGTTCTCTCTCGGGATGTCTGCGCTGAATTAGCGAAGGGGGAATTCCCTGGGTGCTCACGTCATCAGACCTCACTCTAATTGTCAAACCTTGCCCGGTGCATGCCTTTCGTGCCGGGCAGTCCAGTCCCGGTTCGCTCTTGATAGGCTCCTTTTACTCGCTTTTAAAGACTTTCTCAGCTGCTTCTGTCGTCAGTGCTTTACCGGCAACCCATTAGTCTGAAAGGTGAAAAGCAGAAGCGCTGCACACGTTGACCGTGCAGCGCATCTTGGGGGTTGTAGTCTTATCAGTGGTTTTGTCAAAACGTGCTTTTGTTTTGACCAGATCTTATCTGTGGACACTTTGGGCGATGCGCTAAACACCTGAAACGTCTTACACAGAACAGGCGCCTGATAAAAAACAAATTATAATTTCAAAATCTGGATACATCGCCATGTGTTTTTTAAATCTAAAGAGGACCTCAGAAAATGTACTTAAGTAGTTAGATGTAATAATAGAGCCCATTACTAACTGTGATTGATGTGGACAAAATGCATTTGAGCCCATATTTGAGAAAATAACATTTCCGTCTTGGGTCAGAGAAAACTTAACAGATTAAGTTTTGAACTAGATGTTAGAGGATCCCTGAGTAGGAGTTTGCACTTTGGCTTGGGAAGCCATTCAAGGCTGAGGGGACAGGGTGAACAAAGTCATAGAATATGTTACTGGCCTAAAAGAACGTACACGATAGATAGATAAATATATATATATATATAATATATATATATATATATATAAATAAAGGATTAAAGACTATACAGAAATCACTTTATATGTATTGAGGTTAATGTCCTACAAATAGAACTAACTCTGGACAAAACTGTGAAATAAGAGTTATTTCCTGCATTTACTCATTCGAGTATTTGTTGACCATAAACTAGGTGTTAGATACTATAGGGTGAATAAATAGGAAAAGTTCCTCTTCTCATCGAGCTTGCACTATAGTATATAGGAAGACAATAAACTAATACACGCCAGATACTGATAAATATTAATACCAAAAAATAAGGGTAGCAAAAGGTTAGTGAGCTTGGGAAAGGCAGTGGTGTTATTGAGGAAGGCCTCTGAGGGAGGCAGTCAGCCGTGCATTTCCCCAAAGGGAAGAGAGCATGAGGAAACAGAAAAGCAAATACAATGCCATGAGACTATAGTGGGAGGGATAATAAGGAAACCAGTATCTTTAAACCTAAATAATGGAATACTATACATATTGTTGTACAAATGTACCCTAGTTTATTTAAACCGTCTCCTAAAAAATGAGTGGGAAATATCAGAAAGGGAGACAGAACATGAGAGACTCATAACTCTGGGTAACGAACTAGGGGGGGTGGAAGGGGAGGTGGACGGGGTGTGGGGGTAACTGAGTGCCAGGCACTGAGGTGGGCACTTGACGGGATGAGCACTGGGTGTTATTCTCTATGTTGGCAAATTGTTGAACACCAATAAAAAATAAATTTATAAAAATAAAAAAAATTAAAAAAATAAACCACCTCCTATTTATGTATATATGTGTCATTTCCAGTAGTTTCCAACCTCAAACAATTTATCAAAATTATTTCATGTGTTACAATATACTTGATGTTGAATTCCTAGAGTAGGGATTTTCAGCGTTAGCATTACTAACATTTTGGGCTGGATAATGCTTTGTTGTGAGGTTGTTCTGTGCATTACAGGATGTTTAGCAGCATCCCTCCCTTATGTTTACCCACTAGATGCCAGTAGAATTGCACCCTCTCTTCCAGCTGTGACAGCCCAAATAATCTGCCATCATTTCCAGTGTTCCTGGAAGAAGACATGTTACATTTTTTTAATTCTTGAGGGTTTAAAAAAATGTTAATCTCTATAGGGTAAACTCGGTTGTCCATTTCACTAACGCCCTTGAAATGTCAAACTTTCTGTTTTCACCCTTCCCGTTCTGTTAGATGTTTTTATGAAGGTTTTTAATTTTAAGTTTTTAATTTAATTTTTTCCCTTAAGGTGATTAAATCTTCTCCATTACAAAAATCCATCAAAACTGATAACCTGTATCTTCTTAGCCACATTCCTATTTCTTTTCCCTTTTACAACCAGACTGTTTAGTGTTGAAGTTGTTTATACTCCCTTCATTTCTTCACCTCCCACTTATTCCTCAATTGAACCCATTTGGGTTTCCATCACCACCCCTTGCTCTCATCATAGAGCTCTTTATAAACTAACTTAAGATGTCTACACTAATAATGCCATGGATATTTTCAACCTGTTTTACTTGATCTAAGTTAAAATTGGCACTTTATTGTCTGAATAAAGACAGTGTGTGTCTGTTCCTTCCCAGTCATATTATGGCAACTCTTGCTTTATTCTTCAGATGTTGCCACAGTTAATCACTTTCATAAGGGACTCTTCTGACTCTCCTGACCAGATAATACTATCTCCTTGGAATGTTACAAGTACCAAAACACTCAATTCAAAGTGGTTTAAATGATAAGAGAATTCATTGGCTCATAAGAAGGAAAATCTAGAGATAAAGGGGAACCTCATGTAGGTTTGATTGGCTCAACAGTATCAGTGAGAACTCTATTTCCTTCTGCCTTTCAATTCTGTATTTTGCTCTCAAATTCATACTGAGGCTGGCTCCTCTTGGTTTTTTGTTTTGTTTTGCTTTTAAAGATTTTTACTTATTTATTCATGAGAGACACAGAGAAAGAGGCAGAGACATAGAGGGAGGGAGAGGCAAGCTCCACGTGGGAGCCAGATGTGGGACTTGATCCCAGGACCCTGGGATCACGACTTGAGCCAAAGGTAGACACTCAACCACTGAGCTACCCAGCCATCCCATCGCTGGCTCCTTTTGTATCTTAAGATAGTGGCCAAGAGCTCCTAAGTTTCCAGTTCTTCATTCACAGCAAAAAAGCATTTGTTTTTTCTTCACGTATTCCCAGTTGCATTGTGAACCTAAAGATCTAAGGTTTGGGGAATGTCAAGCACTGAATGGCTGAGGTAAGTCAGGGGGCCTGTCATTGGAGCTTAGGGTTAATTCCACCCAAATCCATGGATATTATACCATAGGATATGGGTAAAACGGATGTAGGAAGACAACCAGAGTATCCACTTAATCTTTTGCTACACACAGCACCATGCATCCTTCCACTTAGCATTTGTCATCTTTATAGCTTTGGGTTTATTTCTATGATTTCTGATTAATAACTGTCTCCACATCTAGATGACAAATTTCTGTGAGTTCAGAGAACTATGTTTTTTTTCTCATCATTTTATCTCTAGGGCCTAGCAAGAGGGTATGGAATATAGCAAATACTCAATAACTGTTGAAAGATTGAAGTTTCATCTAGAAGTTTACTACTCAATTGGACATTCTCCCTAACAGGTAATTTAATAACTACCCTATCGAATCAACTGAGATGAAATTACATCTTTGAAAGCTCCAGATTGGTATCTCTATTTCTAAGTAATCAGGTGTTGACACACTACTGAATATTTGTGAAACCAATCTGATATTAAATTGTTTTTGTATCTTTCAAGTTTCTGATTTCTTGTAGAGTAAGGTTCTTTAGGATGGTATGCAAAGCTCTTCATGGTTTGGCCTCTACCCAAACCCTAGCTGTCTACTCTCAAGAGTGAGGCTATGGACTGTTGGAGTGATTTTCCCTGGGGGTGATTTTCTTTTTCAACCATAGCCCCTCACATTCACCTTACCAAATGTTTTTAGAAGTCTTTTCTCTGGGTAAGTGTAGTTCCTCAGGTACCTCATACCCGGAGAGAGTAAAGGCAGAGGAAGAAGGCAAGAGGTCCATTTGGTTAGTATTTAAGCTTTCACTTAATCCCTCCTTTTAACACTGCTGTCCCAGTCTCCCACTACTGTACCTAGTGTCTCCAAGTCTCTCTTATTTCATAAAATAAATGTTTCCTGAGGTGGCGGGGGCAACAGTGTTCAAAGGGTTTATATGAGCATGAGCGTGTGTGGAGGGAGGTGGTAGTTCTTTGGTTATGTGGGTCTGCAAAGGGGACAAAGGTATGTAGCCCCTCTTTGTATAGACTTTGACCCTGTCCTCAGATTCTCATCCCTGATCCTTTCTGATTCGTTGTGGAGATAATTAGTTCTCTTCCTCTCTGATCACCTCTGTGGCCATTTAGATTGTAACTTCCTGTTACCTGCTAAGGTCCACTACTGCTTTACCTACCAGCTGCTTGCCATGCAAATGACATTTGTTAAAATTTCATCTGCTGTTGTCTCTTTTGTTTGCCTTTTCGGCTCTGTACTTAAAGTTATATTCTGTGTGATTAATTTTTCATTTTTGACAAAGGTATTCTAACATGTTTTTATGGTTTTTTTTTTTTTTTAATGTTTAGTTCTGTAGTCCCCTTGGAATTTTTTGTATATGTGAAGTAGGATGCCCATTTAAAGTTTCCTCCGGGGCAGCCCAGGTGGCTCAGCGGTTTAGCGCTGCCTTCAGTCCAGGGCATGATCCTGGAGACCTGGGATCGAGTCCCATGTCGGGCTTCCTGCATGAAGCCTGCTTCTCCCTCTGCCGGTGTCTCTGCCTCTCTCTCTCTGTGTCTCTCATGAGTAAATAAAATCTTTAAAATAAATAAAATTTCTCCTCCAAATGGAGAGCCACTTGTCAATATCCATACATGTGTGTGGATTTGAGCCTGAACACTACTCTGTTTTTAGTTGGTCAACTGTAGTGTGACAGTTTTAATTGCTATAGTTTATTATTTGTTTTGGTGTTTGCTTGATGTGGTGGCCATATCCGTGCACCATTTAGATTGCCTTCAAGAGACCTAGTCTGGGGAACATACTTGACTGATAGCCAATTGCCACCCTTTTGGATCCACCATTGCATTTGAGCTGAGACCATAAAGATCTCAAGCTGCTCCCAGCCAGTAACTGAGCTCAGCACAGGTACTATACTTGCCCTTTACTATGCAGGCAGAACTCCTTTAGCGGGCAACTTTGGCATGGGGAACTTCTTAGCAGGCTGGATGAGACTTTCTTGGAGCTACATTATAGTCTGAAGCTCTTTGCACCCAGTATTTCCTTACCTTCCCTCTTTTACAGAGGTCAAACTTGTGCTATGGTCTATAAGCTCTCCCTGTCAATTCCTGAGCCTATTTTATCCTTAACAAGGTGTTTCCTCCAGTATTTTTCTTGTCATATGTGTCTTTGAAGGCCAGAACTAACAGGTGATACGGGAGTGGTCTAAGAAATCAGGCAGTAAGATGGGGCTTGGGGAATAGTTTACTCAGTCTTTGGCACAAGGTAGTCACTTGACTACTGATTTGACCAGTAGTGACCTAGGAAGACATGCCATAAGAGGGAATGCTATGGTCTATGCAGTGATTCAGGCATTTGAAAAATATGGGGAAAACAATGCCTACAAAGACAGCAGAGCTGGCCAATTAAGTTGTACTACTGGCTTGCAGAGGGATATTGAGTTGAGGGCACTTAATACACAGTTAAAGCTAAGTTTGGGAGTTAGGAGTCCTCTTTGGTCTTCACAAAAAGGCCCTTATTTCCTGCAGTGGAAGAACAGACATGGGATTTGTCAGAGTTACAGAGCTCTAAAGATATTTGAATGCTCAGCTTGTTGGGGGTGGGGGGTGGGGGGGGTGGATTTGCTATGCAGTTAGTGTCCTGACTGGGTAATCTTGAAGCTTGAAGTATGGGGTGGGGGTTACCGGTTCTGCAGTTACCCCTGGACTCTCAGGGATTGCAGAAGTGGCTCATACTTGCTACAAGAGATAACAACTCTCTCCCCTTGTAGAAAGACTTAGTTGTTCTCATATCTTATCCTAGCTGAGAGGCTATGGTAGTTATGGCTAAATCTCAGCATAACCCACCTAGGGACTGCTGGGCCTAGGGAGGAAAAAGATTATACACTGAAGGAACTGAAATAATAATCTAGCATATACTACACCAAGGAGCCAGAGAGGTACACTTGGGATTGGACTTTGAGTGTCCTTAATCAAGGGGGCTGGAGGTTAAGATTGGTAAAGATTTCATTGATTTTGGATACCTTTGGAACAGAAGACTTACTGCTAAGATAGCTCTTGGAAGTCTGGAAAAAGTAAGAGTGGAAATGAGCTTACACCATGGCAACTTTTGACTCCTGGAGAAGATACCTATTTATTTTGGCATACCTGTATGGTTATTGCTCACTTATTAGTTCTAACCAATTATTTTGTAACGTTGAAAGTGTTTTTTAGAAGATCACCTGCATGTTTTTGTTCTTCTCCTCAACCTCTTTTTAATCTTATTATGTTAGTTAGGACCCGAGAACACTGATGAGAGTAACAGTGGTGATTCTTATTTCTTTCCTGACTTTAATGGCAATGTCCCCAGTATTGTATACAAGTTCTTAATTTCTGATAGATACCACTTATGGAGTTAAGGATATTTCCTAGTATTTTAAACTCTCTTGGGAATTATAAATGGCCTCTTCTGATCTGGCGATAATAGTTTTTCTCTTGTAATCTTTATAATGAATTAAGTTCTTATTTCTTACCATCTTTGCATTCCCACAGATCTACTTGATCCTAATAGCTGTTGTCAGTATTGTATTAATAAGACAGTTTATCAGGAGGAAGTTCAAGATGGCAACATATAAGAATCCTAAACTCACCTCCTCCCATGAACACAACAAATCTATAGCTACATATGAAATAATTCTCTCTGAAAAGAACCTGAAAGCTAGCTGAATGGCACCTCTACAACAAAGAATAAAAGGGCCACACTGAGATGGGTAGGAGAGGCATTAAATACATGGTCTTTCAAGAACCTTTCCCCTGCCCCCATCAGGCACAGAGACCAAAAATTGGGAGGGATCTTGTAATACAGGGTTTTGTCCCCAAGGAATGAGGGGTTTGTGCTCCATACCAGGCACTCCAGCCCTTGGGAAATGCATCAGAGAGATGAGCCCCCAAAGCCCCTGGCCTTGAAAACTAACAGGACTTACAACCATAAGGCTTTAGGGAATGGAAAATCCACTCTTAAAGACCCATGCACAGACCTACTCATCCCAGGGCTCAAATAAAATAAAAAAATGAAAGAAATTACAACTGATACTATAGAAATACAAAAGATCAGAACAGACCACTACAAACAATTATATGCCAACAAACTGGACAATATGGAAGAAATGGAAAAATTCCTAGAAATGTACAATATTCCAAGACTGAATCTTAAGGAAATAGAAAATCAGAATAAACTAGTTGCTCGCAAGGAGACTGAGTGAGTAATCAAAAACCTCCCAATAAACAAAAGTCTTATTCACCAAATAGCTTTACTGGTGAATTCTACCAAACATTCAAAGATGTAATACTTCTACCAAACATTCAAAGATGTAATACTTATCCTTCTCAGACAAGAACATCCCAGAGAAGAAAATTACAGTCCAGGCCAATAACCCTGATGAATATAGATGCAAAAGTCCTCAACAAATATTACCAAACCGAATTCGACAGTACATTAAAAGAATCATATACTGTGATCAAGGTGTGATTTATTTCTGGGAGGCAAGTATGGTAAGCATCTGCAAATCAATCAATAGGATACATCACATTAATATTTGTATATAGAAATAAGCTATTGTGTATAAAGTACAAATGAGAGGCCAGGAAACTCCAAAGCAAAGTATATAGAGAGAACCACCTTTAGTTCATAATGATGCACAGGAAGTGTGACTTGGCTTCTGTAAAATAAATTCATGGCCCTGTGATAAATTTTATAAAAAGGCCTTTGAACTTTAACATGATCTCATTGTCTACTTTTTTGCAAGTAATCAGGCATACTCTTACTGATTAAGTGCTTTGAAAATATCACCTTGCACTAGCCTTCTCTTGTATTTTAATAAAATTTGCTAATTCTAGGGAAGAAAAGGCAAAGGATTAAGGAGTAAAAGACTGTTAAATTGATTTATAAAATGAACAAGCTGCTCCATATTCTAAACCTACAATACCAAATGAATATGAAGTTGTCCGTGCCTTCATTTGGAATTCTTCCAGAGTAGTTGCATATCTTCCTCCATTTCATTGAGGTGTTTGTTCAAATGTTACCTGCTTAGGCCATTCTGGGCCATTTTACCTAAATTAGTACCTTTTCTTGATCACTTTATCCATTTACTCAGTTGTTTTTCTTTAAAAAACCTACTACCACCATGCTATATACTTCTTAACGGTTAGTTTACAGGACGCCTGGCTGGCTCAGTAGTTGAGCGACAGCCTTTCGGCTCAGGGCGTGATCCTGGAGTCCTGGGATCAAATCCCACATCAGAGTCCCCGCATGGAGCCTGCTTCTCCTCCCTCTGCCTATATCTCTGCCCTCTCTCTTGTGAATAAATCTTAAAAAAAAAAAAAACTCGTTAGTTTCCGTCCACTAGAATGTGAGCAATGGAACTTGATGTTTTGTTTACTGATGTATTTCTTTACTGATGTATAAGTGTTGAACTAATGAATATTATGCTTGGCAGAACTGAACTAAGAAAGATACTGATATATTTATAGTATTATCTTTAGATCTAGAAGATGTTCTGTAAGAAAAGAAAAAATGTATAGAAACCATAATTGGGCAGCCCGGGTGGCTCAATGGTTTTAGTGCTGCCTTCAGCTCAGGGTGTGACCCTGGAGACCCAGGATCGAGTCCCACATCGGGCTCCCTGCATCTAGCCTGCTTCTCCCTCTGCCCGTGTCTCTGCCTCTCTCTCTGGTCTCTCATGAATAAGTAAAAAGTTTTTAAAAACCCAAAAATCCATAATTTATGGACAGGGGAGTGTCAGTAACAAAATATGAAGAAAAAAGTCTTGTAAGTACCCACATTGCACTAATAGAGATGGGCACTTCAGTTTTAGTCATTTTAGTGTTTTTAGCATTTAATTGCACTTTTGGAAGTACTTCATGGAGAGCAGGAAAAACTACCAAGATGTGAATGAAGACAAAAATAAAAGTCTCAGATCTAAAGAATAAGATCTTGGTTTAAGTGGAAATAGAATCTTTTTGGTGGTTAGTGGACTTTATTGTCACTTTGTGGAACCATGGTCTCTAGAATTTAAGAACTAGCCTCATTTTTCTCCTAGTAGTAACTGGGTCCCTTGGAAAAAAGAAAATAGTAAACTCGGGGTGCCTGGGTGGCTCAATTGGTTAAACGTCTGCCTTCAGCTCAGGTCATGATCCCAAGGTCCTGGGATCCAGCCTAGCATGGGGCTCCCTGCTCCACAAGGAGCCTGCTTCTGCCTCTCCCTCTCCCTGACACACCCCCTGCTTGTGCGCTTTCCTCTCAAATAAAATCTTTAAAAAAATAATAAAATGACATTAAATATAAACTATATGCTTTGTACATTTGATTTTTCTCTAATAGTGACAAAAATCTTTAATTCTCACTTGCCTTCCGTTTAAAACATAAGTTCTGGGGTACCTGGGTGGCTCAGTCGATTAAGTGTCCAACCCTTCATCTTGGAGTCATGAGTTCGAGCCCTGCACTGGGCTCTACACTGGGCATGGAGCCTACTTTAACATAAGTAGGCAAATACAGCTCTTGTACAGAGGTGAGCCATTAGATGACTAAACTGTCACAATATACAAAGAAGAAAAAGAAGATAGGCACAGATCCATTGCAGTAGCAAATGTGATCTATTTTTTCTAAGGTTTTAAGCGATTTCAGAATTATAGGCACTAAAGGGCAATCTTTTTAGATATATAAATGGTTTATAGTTTTAATAATATTTATTGATTTATAATGTAAATAAAAATAAGAATATAGGTAACTCTTGAAATAAAAAATAGACCACATAAAATGAACAATTTCATACAAGTCATTAGAATATATTTATACTATGTATAAATCTACACATTAGAAGACACTGCTGAAATTTTGCTCTACAGGATATCACTCTAGAATTCTCCTTAAAAAAAAAAAAATCACTGGGTGGAATTAGATGATGACTGTGAAATAGATTCTCCCATTACAATACTGCTTCTGTCATTTAGAGTTTTGACAACAGTTGTAGCTGGAGACTGCAGGACTTTACGAGAAAGCCTCATTCTTCCATCAGCCGGATCACGTCCAAAGTATTTCACCTGTATTATAGAAGCCAATTTACTTTTAAAGTTACAGTATTGTGATTGACATCCAAATTAGAAGATTTTTAAATTTACCTGACACAAAAAAGACAATGATTAATGTTTCTACTTTGCTGAAAGCATAGCTTAGTGCTAAATAGAGGTATATGCTAATATAATTTGGTTCAATAGCCATTATTAAAAAGACAAGCAATTATTTGCCCTATGAAAATCTGTTAGACTTAACTGTGCCTTATTTTCTCTAGGCCAGGTCCCTATATTGGAAGAACAGTGAAACAGTGAAAGCCATGGTGAGTGATTCTAAGCAAGAGCTTTCTGAGGCTAATGATGCTATAAACTATACAGGATATGGTCATGTCATTCACACTATTCCTCAAAGGACTATCACAGTTGAGATTATTTGGCTTGACTTTAGGAATGTGACAATGTTACAGTCCCTTCTGATGTAAAAACACATTTTTATACAGATAATATGTCTTAGTTCTTATTTTTCCCTCGGGGCTACTTGAACAATGGGATTACAAATTGGGAATAAACTAGAAGCCTTGGTTACTCAGGTTGTGGGTAATAGGTATAGCTGGAACAAAATGTGGCATGGACAAACAAAAACCAAACTACATCAGACCGATAATGATTTCCTTTATCCACAAGGTCAAATGTGATGACTTTCATCAAACTCAAAAATTTTTAGTTGTAAGGAAGCAATTAAAGTCTCAAATATGACATTCAAGGCCTTCAACCGAGTTAAATTTTCAGAGTTTTCCTGTCCTGTAAAACACTGCATAGGTATCACTGACCTCATGTATTTTTAAAAGCTCTAAAGGGGACTACTGTTCTAACTAAACTATAAGCTCCCTAAGGGAAAGAATTACATCTTAAATCCTTAGTCTATTTAAGAGCAAACCTAAAGTTAAAAAGGTACAGAACATAAATAATATAAATCACAAGTGTTGATTTGATTCTTTTAGCTTTCTGGAAAAAAAAAAAAGGAAACTTCGAGTACAATTTACAGCTTTAAAAAGTTGAATACAAGTACCTGAATTTCTTGGCCAACTTCTAATCCTAGGGCAGTGGGATGTTTAATCTGAAAGAGAACATACTCATTTATTAGTTGCTGGGCATAATTTCTTAATATCCATAGTAGAACACTTTAAAAAAAATTATTTATTCATGAGAGACAGAGAGAGAGAGAGAGAGAAGCAGAGACACAGGCAGAGGGAGAAGCAGGCTCCATGCAGGGAGCCCAATGCAGGACTTGATCCCAGGTCTCCAGGATCACGCCCTGGGCTGAAGGTGGTGCTAAACCGCTGAGCCCCCTAGGCTGCTCACCTTTTTTTTTTTTTAAGTGGGAACATCTGATTATAAAATCTGTTGATTACCAAGACTTATGTAAGTATTCAGATGATAGCAACAATCTTCCAAAACCTCTCTACTTTTTAGATAACTACGGCGTATACTCTAACAAGTATCCTACTTAGTGTGTACTGAGTTTGTTAAAATGGACCTTACAGAGCTTGTTGTTTTAGAATATGTTCATTTTTCATTCAATAATAAGTTGAGGACATCCTTTTATTTATTTACTTATTTACTTATTTATTTATTTATTTTTTGAGGACATCCTTTTATATCAATAAATCAAACAGTAGAGTTGAGTGTTCATCATAAGATTTTATTTATTAGGAGAGAAAAAGCAAGTGAGAGAGGCCACAGAAGAAGAGGAAGAAGACTCCCTGCTGAGCCAAGAGCCCAAAAGGGGCTTGTTCGCAGGAACTGAGATCATGACCTGAGCTGAAGGCAGATGCTTAACTGACTGAGCCACCCAGGAGCCCCTTAAATTCCAGTATTGCAAATGTTAATAATTACTGAATTTAGATGTAAGGTATATATATGGGTGTTCAGTGTACTATTTTTTCAACCTTTCTGTAGGAAACTGTAGTGTTGCAATGATTATGTATTCATTTACTCAAATTATCCTCTAAGAACAAAGTCCTAATGTTGAACTTCTAGGGCCAAAGGTACTCAATTTACCAAACACTCTCTAAAAAGTTTGTCCCAATTTACCTATCAACAGTATCTCAAGTACAGGAGAATGTCTATTTTCCATATTGTTACCCACATTAGAAAATTTTAAGTATCTGAAAGTTGAAAATTTTAACTTAGTTTTATTTGCATTTAAAACAATGCTGTTGAGGTGCCTCGGAGACTCTGTCAGTTAAGTATATAACTCTTGATTTCAGTCAGGCCATGATCAAGCCCTGTGCTGTACTCTGCACGTAGCGTGGAGTCTGCTAGAGATTCTCTCCCTTTCTACCTCCCTCCCCCTGCTCATGCACATTCTTTCTCTGTCTAAAATTTAAAAATAAATAAATCTTTAGTAAGAAAAATTGCTTTGATATTGACCTTTCTTACTGATCCATACAAGCCCTTTGCATGTGGAGCCTCTCTCATATGTTATATACATTTCTTTCCCTTAAGTTGCTACTTGTCTTTCAACCTTATAATTTTGCCATATACTTTTTAAAAAATGTCAGGGACACCTGGGTAACTCAATCAGTTAAGCATCTGACTCTTGATTTCAGCTCAGGTAATGATCTTGGGGTCTTGAGATCAAGTACCACATGGGGCTCCACACTCAGCAGGGAGTCTGTTTGACATCCTTTCTGTCTCCACCGGTCCCCCCTCCTGTGTTCACACTCTCTTTCTCTAAAATAAGTCTTTTTAAAATAAATAGAAACTTGAGGGCAGCCCTGGTGGTGCAGCGGTTTGGTGCCGCCTGCAGCCCAGGGTGTGATCCTGGAGACCTGGGATCGAGTCCCACTTCGGGCTCCCTGCATGGACCTTGCTTCTCCCTCTGCCCGTGTCTCTGCCTCTCTCTCGCTCTCTCTGACTAAATAAATCTTTAGAATAAAAAATAGATAGATAGATAGATAGATAAAGAAAAGAAAAAAGAAAGAAAAAGAAAGGAAAAGAAGAGAAGAGAAGAGAAGAGAAGAGAAGAGAAGAGAAGAGAAAAGAAAGAAAAGAAAGAAAAGAAAAGAAAAGAAAAGAAAGAAAAGAAAAGAAAAGAAAAGAAAAGAAACTTGGGAGTGCCTGGGTGGCTCAGTTCTTGAGCATCTGCCTTTGGCTCTGGTCGTGATCCCAGGGTCCAGGGACTGAGTCCCACATCAGGCTCCTTAGGAGGATCCTGCTTCTCCCTCTGCCTATGTTTCTGCCTCTCTCTCTCTCTCTCTCTGTGTCTCTCATGAATAAATAAATAAAAAAACTTCAAATAAATAAATAAATAATAAAGTAGGGTAGGCATCCTGCTTTATGAAAACCAGCTATTCCAGTACAATGTATTGATGAATAATCTATTTCTTCAGACTGAAAATGCAACTTTGGTATGTATTATATTCTCATATATATATATAACTGGATGATTTCTGGTCTCTAATTTTTTGTTGTATAACTTGTCTAATTCTAGGTCAGTAATACACTGTTTTATTCTGTATAGCTTTATATTTCAATATTTGGTAAACCAAACACTCCTATTATCCCTTTACCCCCATAGTGTTCTTGCATAGTTTCATATTTTTAGTTTTATTTTGCCATGCTTGGCCAAGAAAATTGGAAAGACAGGGGTAGAGCTAGGTATTTTTAAAAAGTAACCGTTATACATTAACTCTAGATGTAATACTCAAGAGTGTTTCTATTCCATCATACAAGGACGAACATAAATGTGTTAAACTATAAAAACATTTTTGTCAGCAACATCCCTGTCATTTTTAGTTTTCTGTATTTAGGCTAGTAGTGGACAAAGTGGACAATCCTTACCAACCCAGGTAATTTCACTATGATTATTTTAAGGCAGTTTTAAAAATTATCAATTTTTTTTTACCTTTCGTTGATCAAGTTGTGTGTTATGTAGTAGTACTGCAGTCATATTTGGATATAGTTTAACCATTACTCCAGTGTCTCTGAAAAGGAAATAAGCCTGGTTAAAACATATGTATCTGTGTATCTACTGCTAATCAAACTGATTATGTACTCACTGGAGAGCAAAGTAAACATACACAAAATCGTAAGTAGGATTATCTAAAAGAGATTCTTATTTTTCAACTGAATACACACACACACACACACACACACACACACACCCTGTATTTATTTTTTAAAAATATTTTATTTATTTATTTGAGAGTGAGTGAAAGAGAAGACAGAAGGAGAGCATAAGCAGGGGAGGGAGTGGGAGAAGACTCTTCTGCTGAGTAGAGAGCTTGATCCCAGGATTCTGGGGTCACGACCTGAGCCAAAGGCAGTCACTCAACCAAATGAGCCACCCAGGCACCTCCCCACCTTTTAAAAAAGATTTTATTTATTTATTTATTTATTTATTTGAGAGAGAGCTAGCAAGAGAGCATGTGCTGGGAGGAGACAGAGAAGCAACATTAAATATTTTAAAGTAGTGTAGATTAATCATAAACCTATTAAGCAATGATTTAAGGAAGGGGGTTGGAATAAAAATAGCATACTTATTTCATTAAAAAATTTGTCTTCCTTCTTTTCACTAGTCTACTAAAATAAGCCACCGTTTCTTAGTTTTTCACCTGTGATATTAAACCTTATTCCAGGGGCACTTGGGTGGCTCAGTGGTTAAGCATCTGCGTTCAGCTCAGTTCACGATCCTGGGGGTCTGAGATCGAGTTCCGCATTGGGCTCCATGCATGGAGCCTGCTTCTCCCTCTGCCTGTGTCTCATCCTCTCTCTCCCTCTGTGTCTCTCATGAATAAATAAATAAAATTTTTTAAAAAATCAGCATAGCCTTAGTTGATATTACCTGATTTCAGTTATTGTGGCGGTATACACTGCTCCAAATTCTAGTTGCTGCTCTTGCTGTAAGTGCAAAATAAACCATAAGTGTATAAACAACAAAATGTGGGGAAAAGTAACTATTATAAGATCTATACTTACATCATCTTTGCACAGTTCAGTAATGAAGTCTCTTGCTTCGTGCATAGCACTGGGTGTTGGTGCAAATACAGAAAATGTTTCTTCATCCACCTGACTAACAGTTACTCCTTTTAAAAAGATAATTTAACATATTAAAGTTAACTTGCTCACTCCAATGTAGTCTTAGAAGTAGATGTGAGAGCAGGGGCTTGACCTGTTAAGTAGCTAGACAGGGTTGTATTATATTTAGTCACTGCTTTGGGAATGAAGAGATTCATTCATCAACAAATACACACTGCACACCTGCTATGTATCTGACATTGCACTAGGTCCTAGGGAAACAACAATGAGTCATTGTCTTTGTGCTCTTGGAGCTCACAGTTTAAGAGAAAGCATATATAAGTTCTCATTTTGGAAGGTTTAGTTTTGATTTCTTAATTATGAGTAGAAACTCTACTAGAACCTTTTCCTCACCTTTTCTTCTTTCTGTTACTTTTTAGAGTGGTGCACAGATGGATGAGGGATGAAATCATGTTGGTTTCTCAATCTAAAGAGCTAGGTAAGGTAACTCTGCTTCTCATCTTCCTTCAATAACCTCAAAGCTGGTAAGTACTAGGTAACTCAAATACTGCCTCCAGAAAAAACAATGCATACTATTTCTATACATACTCTTTAAATACAAGAGTCTAAATAAGTGAAAAACAGCAGAAAAGAAAATGACAGCAAAATCCTTTAAAGTGAAAAAATAATAAACATTTTTCTAAATCTTCAATTTTAAAATGTTGCAAAGAAATTGATTAATTCTAGGTCATCTTCTTTGAGTATAGTTAAGAATGCTGATTTATTAAGAGGCATACAGAAAAACCTACAGTAAAGACATGCCAGTGTTACATTCTTTTCTCTTATTAATTTCTCAAACATATTTTTGGAGCAACACAATAGAGCTGAAATGGCAACCTAGATGGCCTACCATTAAAACCCTCAAGCTTGGGGCTCCTGGGTGGCTCAGTCAGGTAAGTGCCTGACTATTGATTTCAACTCAGATCATGATTTTAGGATTGAGATGGAGCCCTCAAGGTGGGCTCCATGCTGGGCTGGGCATGAAGCCTGCTTAAGATTCTCTCTCCTCTTCTTCCCTTCTCCCTCCCACTCTAAGAAAAATAAAAATAAAAATAATAAAACACAATCCCCAAACTTCATACAGCTCTTACCTGTTTCAGCCTGGAGCTTTTTTAAATGATATCCACCCGGTCCAACAAATTTTGCTCGTTTTGATAATGGAACCTGAATAGTTTCTGAAATGCAGTACAGACAAAATTATAAATAATGCAATAACATATATAAACTTAAAACATTATCTTGATCAGAGAAACTTTTTTTTCGCTTAGACACATGTAAAAATACTTCATGGGAAATAGAAAAATAGTTACTTAACTTTCTGAAAGTTCTAAGGTCTAAAAATATCTCTCCAAATTTAAAGTATTTAAACTATAGAAACAAGTTAAAATATTTTTGTTTTGTGTATGGAGTTAAAGAAAATTTAATTATATATCTTTATATATTAATGTTTACCTTGTCATGGAATAAATAATTTTAATACATTACCCACAACAGGTCCATTTTCTTTTCTAGATGCTCGAGGTTTTGAAATAGTTTTGTTCATAATCTGTAGTATCTCCCTCTTTGCCACTATGAAAGATAAAAACATAATAAAAATTCTAACTATAGTTGATCCTTGAACAACTAGAGATTAGGGATGTCCACCCCGGCTTTGAAAATTCATGTACAACTTTTGATCCCCCAAAACTTAACTACTAATAGCCTACTGTTGACTAGAAACAGTTAAGTACGGGCAGCCCGGGGTGGCTCAGCGGTTTAGCGCCGCCTTCAGCCCAGGGCGTGATCCTGGAGACCCGGGATCGAGTCCCGCGTAGGGCTCCCTGCATGGAGCCTGCTTCTCCAACTGCCTGTGTCTGTGCCTCTCTCTCTCTCTCTCTCTCTCATGAATAAATAAAATCTTTAAAAAAAAAAAAAAAAGAAACAGTTTAGTAACTCATTTTGTAGATCTATTATATGCTGTATTTTTACAATAAAGTAAACTAGAAAAAAGAAACTTAAGAAAACCATAAGGAACAGTAAACATACTTACAGTGCTTTATGTGTATATATATATATATTTTTTATGTATGTTTTTTGAAAAATATTTGTGCATAGGCATGCTAGCCAGCCTAGCTGGGATATGGGGCTGGCTCTGGGATGGCAGAGTTCCACAGCCTGGTGGGTTAGGCTCAGCAGTGGCAACCCCTGAGTGGCCTGTGTGCAACAAGAGTTGCATGAAGGCACAGTACAGCTGCATCTGCCTGAACATGTACCACTGGCCCATGGCCATACACTGTCACCTACGGCTACATGTGATTGTGCTGGTCTCCAGAAGGCCTCAAGGTCAAGGTGCCATGGTGTGGAGTAGGTCCCTCCCTAACCCCAGAGGCACAGAGGACTTAGTGCAAGGACTTCCCACTCAGTGCTGTCCCTGCCCTCTGGACATGTGCTTTCACTTCAGCCCAGACTTCTGTGGATGCTCAACAGGACCACTCTCTCAGCAGACTACAGCCCTGCCCAGTCATGGTCACCCCCCAGGGGCTGCTGATGGTCTCAGCAGGCCTCTCAGGATACTCAGAGTGCAGAGGGCATAACATCTGTGCCATCTGCCTTCAGTTGCTCTGGTGGGATGGGGAGTAGTAAATAAATGCTCTGCTGTTGTAAATAAATGTTTTTGCTGTCAACTCTAAAAAAAAAAATCCACATATAATGTGGACCTGTGCAGTTTGAACACACATTGTTCAAAGGTCAACTGTGTAGAAAATAAATGTGATCAGAGATCACATTTTATTATTAAAAATCATAAAAAGCCCATTTTTAATAGTATGCCTAATGGGAATTATAGTTGCCATTAGCAAATAACACAATGATGGAAAGAGAATCAGGCACACTGGCTTAGCTTACCTGAGGCTTGTTGAATGGCCTCCATTACAATTTTTATTGGTATTCCAGGTAACTTAATATCAGCCTAATGTAGAAAAGCAAAAAATATATATATATATTTATAAATATTAATTCATGACATTATTTAAATATTATAAAAGTGAAACAAAATAGGTTTTAAAATACCTGTAGTGCAGTTATTCCCTTACTGGTGCCAGCTATTTTGAAATCCATGTCACCATTATAATCTTCAATTCCCTGAAGGAATTTAAGAAATTACGATATAGTCTTAAACAAAAACAAAATTTACCCAGTCACTATACAGGAATTTTTAAAAACAGCTGTAGAAGTAAACCATGGCCTCTAAGACTAAATACAAAGTATCTTCTACATTACTACTGCTTCTAATTTGAGTCTTTTTAATAAAGTTAGAACTGTTTCATCAGAAAAGTCACTTGAGGACCCCTGGGTGGCTCAGTGGTTGAGCATTTGCCTTCGGCTCAGGGTGTGATCCCCAGGTCCTGGAATGGAGTCCTGCATCAAGCTCCCCACAGGGAGCCTGCCTCTCCCTCTCTCTCTGTTTCTCTCATGAATAAATAAAATCTTTAAGAAAAAAAAAAAAAAACTGACTTTAAGATCATGTTGGTACCCGATAAAATGCTATTTCATTTACAATCACCCTAAAGTGAGCTATTATGGATATTTATACTGTAACATATATTTTATACTCATATCCTATAAAATCCAAAGCATATTAATATGCAGAGGAGGAAAGAAAGAACAAGGACCTCTATTTCCAAGTACTATTATTATTCTAGGCATACAATGCTTATAAAATATGTACAATGCTTATAAAATATGTATCATCTTCACCATTGAATATTTGAAGACATGGATATACTTGCCAGAATATCTGTCAGCAAACGATAATCTTCTATTTCACCCTTGTCGGGATTGTTTTTGGTGACCAATCCTATTGCTACACCTGCGACAGCAGATGAAATTGGAACTCCTATAATTGAGAAAAAGAGCTTGTATGTAATGTGTACATCAGCCTAACACATATTTATCATTCTGATATTTATTTTAATGTAAGTAGATGGTGTTTTAAATTTGACAGTCAGAACTAAGCTGGAAAGGTCATCTGACTACCTCATTTCTTGTTAAGCATGTGATAAAAGCCTCTTAAAACAATTCTAAACAGGTCAAAGTGTAATCTTTTATTTTCTTTACTTATGGAAGCATAGTGAATGCACCACTATTCTGCACCTTGCTTTTTTTCACTTACTGACATACCCTAGATATTGACACATAATGCAACAAAGTTCCACCTTATTCTTTTGAATGGCTGCTTAGTACTCCCTGCATGGATTTATAAACCACAGGACAGAAGTGAGATTACTCAGTCAGGGTGTGTGGGTTTACATTTATTATAAATCTGCAAACTGCCTTCACAATATAGCATTTTATTTTTTTAACAGCAGTATTTGAGGGTGCCTGCTGTTCTACTTTGTTAATTCCTATCAAATCTTTGGACCTTTGCTCATGTAGAGGGTAAAAATGGTAGCTTATTATTTTTTATTTTTTATGAATGAGGTTAAACTATTTTTAATGTTGGTAAACAATTTGTTCATTTGTTTAAGTAGGGTCTAAGCCAAATGTGAAGTCCAGTTCAGGGCTTAGACTCACAACCCAAGCTACGATCAAGTTGGATGCTTAACCAACTGAGCCACCTAGGTGCCCCTTCTATTTCTTTATCTGTGAATTGCTTGTTCATGGCCTTCAACCATTTTCCTACTTGGTTGTTAGTCTTTTTCTTTTTTCTTTTCTTTTCTTTCTTTTTTCTTTAGTTAGTCTTTTTCTTAATGATTTATAAAAGCTCTTTCAATATGGGCAGTATATCATTGTTAAATATAAATATAGATTATTAAAGGAAATATATTATTTCCTAGTCAGTTGACTTTGTTTATTGTGATTTATTTTCCTGACAGAATTTTAACTTATATGCAATCATGGTTCCTGGATTTTGCTTAGAAATGTTTTTCTGGGACACCTGGGTGGCTCAGCGGTTGAGCATCTGCCTTTGGCTCAGGGTGTGATCCTGGAGTTTCAGGATCGAGTCCCACATGGGGCTTCCTGAATGGAGCCTGCTTCTCTCTCTACCTATGTCCCTGCCTCTCTCTTTCTGTCTTTCATGAATAAATAAATAAAATCTTTAAAAGAAAAAAAATTTTTTTTTCCTATTTAAGATTTTGGTAGAATCTTCCATGTTTCAGTTTTTTACAAAACATTTAAGTTTTTATCACTTGGAACTTACAGTTAAAAAGGAGTGTGGCAGGGGATCTCATTTCATATTCTCTAAGCAATCTCACTATCACCATTATTTTTAACCATAACCAATAATGTTGATGACCTAAAAATCTTTCTATTTGTGTTTGCTAAGCCCTAGATTTGTATAGCCAATCTGCCTATTTGGTATTTCTAGCTAAATGTCCCCCAAACACCTTATATATGCACATATATTCAAAATGTAATCACATCCAATAAATCCCTTCCGTTTTGCCTTTCTTATCTTGGTTGAATGTAAAACTAAGATACTCATGCCAGAATCAATACTTCTTTCCTCATTTCTTATAAAGTCACAAAGATCTGACAGTTTATCCCTTAAATTTTTTTAGAAAGTTGATCTTTCCCCTAAATACTGAAACATCCATTGCTACTCCTTTGGTCCAAGTCCACATTATTTCTTGCTCTGACAACATTCTTCCTATCTGGTTTCCCCAATTTTATTCTCTCCCCCAAGTTTCCATTTCCTCCCACTTCATCCTTCTAGGTCTATCACCTAAGCTGGGAAAAACTACCAAAAAGAAAAAAAAAAAATCGGATTCAAGTCAGCCATCCCTCTACATCATATTCTCCTGAATTCCCCACTATCTGCTTTCAAAGAAATTTTTATACATGTTCTATGGTCAAAAATGTTTGAGAGGGATGCCTGAGTGGCTCAGCAGTTCAGGGTGTGATCTCGGGCCCCTGGAAATGAGCCCCAAATTGGGCTCCCTGCCTCCCTTTATGTCTCTGCCTTTCTCTCTACGTCTCTCATGAATGAATAAATGAAAATCTTAAAAAAAAAAAAGTTTGGGAAATAGTACATATCCTGTTCCTAAAGACTGAGAATTCACATCAGTGTTAACTCACATTACATAAATCTACCTAACCCTGCTCAAATGTAATTTAGAACAGAATTTTTTTTCATGGTATACAATAATCAATATCCAGCAGGAACAATATCCAGTTCATAGAATATTGAGTTGCAAAATACTACCTTCAAGTTCAAAATCCTTAGCATAACAATGACCTTTATTTATTTATTTATTTTATTCATGAGAGACAGAGAGAGAGGCAGAGGAAGAAGTAGGCTCCATGCAGGGAGTCCGATGTGGGACTTGATCCCAGAACTCCAGGATTACACCCTGGGCCGAAGGCAGGTGCTCAACCGCTGAGCCACCCAGGCAACCCAACAATGACCTTTAAAGTCTGGACCCAATTCATTACTTAATTTTTTAAAATACATTTCAGAAACACACAATACTGCTTTGCACATGTTGTTCCTTTCACATTAAATACAGGCCCTGATCCTAATCAACCTTTAGAACCAGATAAAATGTAGCTGTCTCTATAAAGCTAATTATCTTCAATCAAATTCTTCATCCATATCATACATATGGTGCTTTTACCTATGACCTGTTTTCTGTGTTACAAATGTGTGAATTTAGAGGGAGCTCCTTACAAAGCCTCTTGAGTATCTTTAGGTTCTTTTTTTCTTTCTTCTTGGACAGCATCATTGGTGAGATACAGAAATTATTTTCAGAACCTCTTATGTTGACTCTTTTTCCCTTTTGGTGTTTTAAACCGAGAGATTATCCTGAACCTCTTATGCTCTTTCTTTCTAAAATTCTATGTATCATTTCTATGGGTGGTATTGTTCTTCTCATGGCTTGCATACACTGACTGGAAGATTACATGGTTACTTTCCTTTATGAGTCCTAAATACTTCTGCTTGCTGATCCAAACTTCATTGGTTTAGAATCAACTGCAGATCTCTTTACCTTTTGGAAGGTGAGAAAGCTCACTGGATCACCAAGCAAGTTAATAGTTCTGCCTTTTTGCTACAGATAAGAATTCTAGTAGATACTCTGTACAAAAAAAAAAAAAAAAAAAAAGATACTCTGTACAGTTGAAGCTGTACTTTGTTTTTAACTATCTTGTTCTGAACTGGTTTGGTAATTTGTAATCTGACTTCTCCAAGTCTAACCAAAATCCAATTTTAAAGAGATCTTGTATTTTATATTAATCAAATACAGTGGGCAGCCCCGGTGGCGCAGCGATTTAGCGCTGCCTGCAGCCTGGGATATGATCCTGGAGGCCCGGGATCGAGACCTACGTCGGGCTCCCTGCGTGGAGCCTGCTTCTCCCTCTGCCTGTGTCTCTGCCTCTCTCTCTCTCTCTCTCTCTCTCTGTCTCTATGAATAAATAAATAAAAATCTTAAAAAAAAATCAAATACAGTTAAAGCATTAGTTTTGAGACATAATTCTTTTACCTGCATCCATTAATGCTAAACTTCCACCACATGCAGATGCCATTGAAGATGATCCTATAGAAGCAAAAATACCTGCTTTAATAATATACTGACTTTTTTTAATGTAGAAAATTGTTACTATTATTTCCTTATAAATATTTTGTATTCTTTCCTTCTTTCTTTTTAAAAGCAATTAAGACAAGCTCTGCTAAACCACAAACTACAGGACTACACAGTCCAGTATGACACTCATTACATTCATTATGTACATGTAGCTACTAAACTTAAATTAATTGAAATAAATTCAGTCCCTTAACTGCATAGCACAGAGATAACTTCATCATCACATAAAGTTCTACTGGACAGCAGTGTTATAGATTCTAAGAAACCTCCCAGCAAAACCACCATGCCTCTTTTGTTGCCTAATCAGAAGGCAGTTTAAGATACAGATTCTGGCTCTCTCATGGACCCTAAGTTACAGCCTAGTCATACCAGGTAGAGAACAGAAAATCTCTAGTTTAAATTCAGATGTTTTTTTTATTGTTCTTTTTCAATACCTATGACTACCTGATCGATGTCTGCTACATCTTTGAGATCTCTGTGAGCTTTCTGTCTCTAATGGCCATACCTTGCCTTGACTAGGGTACTTAATTTTAAGTACTCGAGTACTTAGTATGATCTTTTAGCTCAGCCTCTCTCTCCCTATGCTATCTACTTATGTCTGTGATACATGATAGCTGTCCCTTGCCTAATGGATCACTCTCTTTTGTCCCTTTCTCTCTCTAAGCTGGCCTTGCTCTATGGTTTGTTTCTAAAAATAAATAAATAACCGCAACTGGATCTGTTATAACAGATACATGAAGAGAAATACTTGTTATATTGGGCTCAAAAAACCTCATTAGCTAAGAACAGAGATTTATACAATATATGATTAACTAGCACATATCATGGACTTGGGCACTGTGATAATAAGCATAATATAACATTAGTTATAAAAAGTTAAGAATATAATGGAATTTTGGTCTTCTTGACTAGAGGAAAACTTTATTTTACCATTTGACTCTAGGACTTCAGATGTTACTCTTACGGTGAAAGGAAAATCCTTGGGGATAACAGGATACAAAGCTTTCTCAGCAAGAGCACCTAAGTTAGAATAGAAAATAATAAACATAAATGTACTGAGTCTTTGTAAGAATACCATGTAAGTCTATAAATTTATACTCACCATGTCCAAGTTCTCTTCTATTCACACCAGTGACTTTGCCAATTTCATTAGTGGCATAAGGAGGAAACTTAAAAACAAAAACAGATACATAAACAACTGACATGGAAAGATATCTAAGATATAGTACCAAAATAATAAAAGAAGTTACAAAATAGAATCCTACTTTTTTTAAAGTTCATTTGTATACACAGAAAATGTCTGGCTATCTGAAATACACACCAAATTACTAAAAGTAGCTATTTCTAGTGTGTATGTGAACCAGAGTGGGAAGTAAATGGTTATGGGGATCTATAACATAATATTTCTATAGTGTTTAAATTATTAATGATGATAAAAGACTGTATTTTTACAAGAAAAATATATACAGATTTAAAAAGAAATGTGCAAAAATAAAAAATAAAAAGAAATGTGCATTGAGGAAACAGATCTTTTCCAGTAAGGGTTTTAGTCAGAGGTTGCAAACTATTTTATTTGACCAATATAGTGTCTCAAAGGAATATGATTATTTGCAATCATTTAAAATATTGGGAAATGCCCCATAAAATTTAGAAGTCCAGTTTCTTTAACAAAATTATTTATTTTAAAGATTTTATTTATTTATTCATGAGAGACACAGAGAGAGAGAGAGAGATACAGACAGACAGACAGACAGACAGACATAGGCAGAGAGAGAAGCAGGCTCCATGCAGGGAGCCTGATGTGGGACTCGTTCCTGATGTGAGACTTGATCCCGGCACTCCAGGATGACACCCTGGGCTGAAGGCAGGCACTAAACCGCTGAGCCACCCAATGATCTCCCAACAAAATATTTTTTAAAAGGAGTAATGGTACATGAATTCTGATCAAGCCTCTGGATCTAGCAGTCAATTTTCAGGAGTTATAAAGACAGAAACTTGTTGGATTCCATCATGAGTGTGTAATCAGCAACATCCAGATTGCAGGGAACTCTACAGTCAAATGGCTCTGGGAGTTTAACAGACAGATTGAAAAGAAAACATATTGGAGGTGAAACCTATAGATTAAAAGATTTACAGAAATGTCAAATTTTTAAAAAATGGGTAAGACTTAGTGTCTAGGAATGTATACTAGAAAAGCAAGGCAGTTAATTACTATAAAATTTAAGATAGTATTTACTTTCAGGGAAAGTAGAGTGTTGAGGCTAGGATGAAAAGCATGGAGGAGCTTCAGGGATGACTAGGAACATTTCTATTCTAATTTGGGTGGTGGTTATCAAGAGTCTCTGCCTTATAAAAAGTCATTATGCCATCCTTTGTTTTATATCATTTCAGTATATGTGTTGTACTTTACAATAAAATGTTTTTAAAAAATGAAATGATAAAGCAATACAGCCCATATCCTTTTACTACCCCTCCTTCATTTCTGTTCCGTAATAAGCTAGAGCTGCATTTTTCACAGCTGCCCTTTTTAAAGACTGCCATGTGCTATGCAGCTCAGGACAAAGTATATGCTCTCTGCCTTCTGTAGCATCTGATTATATCCACAACAGGATATAAGGGACTCAAAACCTGTGAAAATCTCCAGGTTTCTGGATATTCTCTAGTAATTACTGTCTACATGAGATGTTCTCAAGTATAGCAGGTTCAACAAAACTGAGATGTTGGCATTCAGGACAGCCACCAATGGTCACTCAAAAGTGAAGTGACTTGCTACTTTTACAACTAGTCTCCCAGCATATAAGCTCCAAATACTAAAATTAAAGTGTTTATGTCATATCTAGTCCCTTAGGATTTAGCTATAAATCAAGTCAATCCAAATGAGTAAAAACATGAACATTTAAGAACTAAAGGGAGGAGGTGATTTGTCATTTGAAGTATTTGAAAAGCCTCACTTTTGTTGACACGTGAATGGGACAACTTTTTTGACTAAAATAAAACTGTGTACTTTTATGTATGATTCAGAACATCAAGTTATTGATTAAAAACTGTAACTTATCTCTAAATTCTCTTCTGCATGCAATAAAAGAACAATGCCCAAATCTACTTTAACAGATATATAAGACCAGCATAATAAAATGTTAATAGTAGAACCTAGGTAGTGAGTGGGTATATAGTTCTTAAGTTCTTTCGGATTTGCTATAGCCTGAAAATTTTTCATAATAAAATATTGGGGATAAAATTCACCTTACCTCATAGTGCAGCATGAAATTTTTATCTTTTATTCCACTACGAACAAAAAGCATAAAATTAAAAACATCATATAGATACAAGTATTCTATTTGTATACTAAGACTGTAGACATTTACTTTTAAGCATCAGTAACTACTGAATCTTAAATTATAAACACATTAGTTAAATCTCAGAATTAGGATCTTTCTCCCAGTCAATATGTGAAGTGAAGATCGGTAACTTAAGTGATATAGGGGAAAGCAACCAGGAGATCAAACAGGGAAGATTTTTTTCAGAGTTTGAAATGAAAAATGTTATGATTATACCCAGAACAATGGAGAAAATAAGTATGAGAGGAAACACAATTCCTGGAAGCAGGAAACCAGATTTATATTTAAATGAGGTATATACAGGGTCTTAGCACAATTAGTGTCCCCTTTGGGTGGGTGTAATTACAAAAGGCAGTTCTCTGTGCAGAGGATTGAAAAATCCTAGGTTAGGGCCAAATCTGCATAACCATAAACCACAGTCTTGGGAAGAGAAATCGAAAACCCTGATTCCTGAAGACTATAGGAATAACAGATTTGGGGGGCTAGAGAGGATACAGATCATTAGCCCGGCACCTGTATTTTACAAGATGAAGAAACCAAAGGCCAGCATGACTGGCATGTGCCCTTTTGTTTACATAGGTTACAGACCTAAGACTAGAACATAAAGAGGTGCTCTGGCCAACCTCAGTGCTCTTTCTTATGAAACTGTATTGCCTCTTTGAAGAGAAAGGAGTCAAAGTGAGCAAAGGGAGGGCAACCAAGTTTGGGCTCAGATGGGAATTTAAAAGAGAAAGTGTAAGAGCTCCCTCCAAAAGAATTATGATTACATTAATAATCTTGCCTTATACACACAGTTGCATTGTCAATTTTATCAGATATGTGAAAAACAATTAGTGGCGCTATCCTGAAGATGCTGGGGGTTATCCTCATTAGTGAGGCAGTAGGAAGAGGGAGGCTGAGACTTGTGGTCTTCTGAGACCCTTACCAAGGGAAACGGAAGCAACCCTATTAGGCACTGAGCAAAGAAAAGAACTGTGGCTGTGAGTACCAGGATTCTGATGCAGTGGTGCTGGTGAGGACTGTAACATAGATTCTCATCATCTGCAATCGATCAGTAAGATTTTACTGCTGGCTTTCTAGGAACAGAGGAGGAGAACCAAGTATTTCTGAATACAAATTCCAGTGTGGCTTGGATTAGGTAAGGCTTTTTTTTTTTTTTAACTTATTAACAGCCTCCAGATTCTTTTCAGCAACTGCGACTCTTGTGTATTTATTTGCTCTCATTTATTATAGAACAACCTATCCATATCTGTCCTGAGGAATGGTTCTAGAGACAGAGACTAAACTGAATATACCCATGTTAAACATACCTTAAAAATCATTATAATATAAACAAAAATACAGAGATAATATGTTTAAAAATAATATAGTACATGAGCTTCAATTGTATATTGGAACTTCATAACTTTATTTATTTATTTATTTTTTATGATAGTCACACACACACACACACAGAGAGAGAGAGAGACAGAGACAGAGACACAGGCAGAGGGAGAAGCAGGCTCCATGCACCGGAAGCCCGACGTGGGACTGACTCGATCCCGGGTCTCCAGGATCGCGCCCTGGGCCAAAGGCAGGCACTAAACCGCTGCGCCACCCAGGGATCCCGAAACTTCATAACTTACTTTAAAACATATCAAACATGTTTTAGGACATACCAACATACTTTATAACTTACTAAAAAACATAACTTACTTTATGGCTGTTATAATTCGGTCAGACTTTATACTGGATTCTAATGAATCAAATGTAACAGTACAAAACACCTAAAATTAGAAGAAAAAAAAAATCTCAGGCTTTAGTTTACTAACAATGAAGAGGAAAACTAAAAATATTTCAAGAACCCCATTAGCTATTAAAGAAATGTGATAAGTAAATTCTATACCAAAGCTTGCCATGCTACTTAATAAACATTCATTCTATAAATATGAAAGTTATGTGTAAATCTCAATAATCCAAAGGTCTAACATCACAGACTATGTATGTAAAGCACTGTACTAGAAGTGCTGGGAGAGGACAGGAAGAGGAAGGTATATTTGTAAAACTTGACTATAAAGGAAGCCTCAATAAAGGTCCAGCCAGGGAGGGTAAAATAAAGTAAGACGAAACCAGAGGGAGACAAACCGTAAGAGACTTTTAACTATAGGGAACAAACAGGGTTGCTGTTTACTAGGTGATGAGCATAAAGGAGGGCATATAATGTAATGAGCACTAGGTGTTACATCCGACTGATGAATTACTGAACTCTACCTCTGAAACTAATAATACACTACGTGTTAAGTCATTGAATTTAAATAAAATAAAATTTAAAGAAAATAAGTAAAGGTCCAGGCAATAAAACTGCCTACTTAAAAAAAATCCAATCTTCTTTGGAAGGACATAGTATAAACTCTAAAATGCATCATTCACAACATCCAGGATACAACCTACAGAAAAATAGGAAATGGTAACCATTCTTAAGAGAAAAGATAATGAGGACAATGCCCCGAGCTAATTCAGATATTGGATTAACAGACAAGGATTTTCCGTAGCTCTTATAATTATACTCAACGACATAAAGAAAAACAAATGGAACTTCTAAAACTGAAAGACACATTTTCTTATGATGGAAAGAAGATGCCAAGAATCCATGGACATGGAGATGGATTAATAGAAATCGCCAAATCTAGAGAACAAAGAAGGGTATAGGGTAGGGAGGACATATCCTCAGGGACCTGTGGGGACAATTTCAAAAAGGCTAACATATATACTTAAAATCCCATAAGGAAAGATTAAGAGAGAATAAGGTAGAAAAAATATTTGAAGAAATTATGGCTGAAATCTTGGGATTTCAAATTATGGGACACCTGGGTGGGCTCAGTGGTTAAGCATCTGCCTTCGGCTCAGAGCATGATCCCAGGATCTGGGATCGAGTCCCACACTGGGCTTCCTGTAAGGAGCCTGCTTCTACCTCTGCCTATGTCTCTCATGAATAAATAAATAAATGTGAAAAAAAAATTATGGCTGAAATCCCTAGTTTGACAAAAGGCACAAATTTACAGGTTTAAGCTCAGAAAACCCTTAGCATGATAAACACAAAGAAAACTACACTTTTCAGTTATATTGTTGAAAACCAAGAAAATCTGGAAAGCACCCAGATGAAGACAATAAATAGTATACAGAGAACAAGGATTTGAATGCATCCTGACCTTTTATTACGGGGGGGAAAAACAACAGAAGAACATTTTTTTAACAGTGCTAAAAGAAAAAAGCATCAGCCAGAATCTAAATCTTGCAAAAAACATTCTTTGTATATAACAGCAAAATAAAGACATCTTTAGGTAAATGAAATACAAGAATTTGTTGTCAGAAGGTCCACAGGACAATAGTAAAAAAGAGTCTTGTCAGATGAAAAGGGAAAAATGCTATATGGAAACGTGGATCTTCAGGAAGAAATACAAAGTATCGGAAGTTATAAATACAAAAAAAGAAAAAAGAAATTTTAAATAACATAGGTCAATAAAGAAGACTATATTTTCCCTCTTAATTTCTGAAAATGAGTAATTGTTTAATATACAAGTTTTAACATTGCCTTGTGGAGTTTATCCTATGTAGATGTAACTTCTAAAACAACTAGAGCATAATGTGTGAAGTAGTACAGAATTAACTCTAAAATGAAAAGTTAAGGAGATATATACTGTATTCTCTATACTAACCACTAAAAAAATAATGCAAAGGTATAGCTAAAAAATAGACATATTACAATTGAATTAAAAAAAATATTTGGTTAATCCAAAAAGAAGGCAAAATAGAAAAAATAAAAAAACGTGCAGCCCCAGTGGCTCAGCAGTTTAGTGCCACCTTCAGCCCAGGGTGTGATCCTGGAGACCCGGGATGTAGTCCCATGTTGGGCCTCCTGCACGGAGCCTGCTTCTCCCTCTGCCTGTGTCCCTGCCTCTCTCTCTGTGTGTCTTTCATGGGGCAAACAAAAATAAATAATAAAATGCTAAATACAATCACATTAGTAATTAAATAGAACATTAATGGACTAAACACTCTTAAAAGGCTGAGACTGTCAGAATAGCTAACAGAAGTATGCAGGATATCTTAATGGAGTTATGTTTAAAATTTATTAAAAAGCATAAAAGAAAACCTGAATCAAGAGTGAGACTATTTACTGAAAAGATTGTATGTAATTAAATTGTAAAAATATAATTTCTCTCTCAAACTAATTTATAAATTCAGTGCAACAGCAATCTAAACTCAAGAAAGATTTTTTTCCCCCAAAACTTAATATAATACTAAAATTCAAATGAAGGAACAAATGTACCAGAATAGCTAAGACAATTTTGAGGGGAAGGGGAGAATAAATAGGGAAGATTTGCTTCTCATATATTAATACATACCACCCAAACCATAATAGCTAAAACAGTGTGATACTGGCCCAAGAAATTCACAGAACAAGGAAGAGAATATCATTTAAAAATGTATTTATAAACTGAATATCATAAATCAACATTATAAGTCAACAGGAAAAATGAATTATTAGTGAATGTGTTGTAAAATTGGCTCACTCTGGAAGTTTCCACCTCGCACCATATGTAAGAGTAAACTCCAAAACAGACTAATGGTTTAAATTTGATAGCTACAACTAGAAAGTTAATAGAAAAACTAGGTGCATAATTTTGTGACTTTGGGAAAAGGAAAGATTTCTTAAATAAGACAAAACAAAATCACAAAATAAAAAAGGGAAGGATTAACTATTTCAAAACTAAAGATTTCAGGTTCATTCTAGACGAAGAGTAGGTTACCACAAGCAAAGTTAAAAGGCTTACAATAAGGAGGAAGATAATATATTCAAATTCTGGTTACTGAAAAGGATTAATATTTGAAACACATAAATCGCTTAAAAATAGGAAGAAGAAAGGATATAACCAGATAATTCACAAAACAGCAAACCTGAACCAGGGCCACCATACTGCTCAAGTTCAAGGACACTATCTATGTGACAAGAGTGTGCTGGAGGGTGTCCTGGAGCCACACTGACTGGCTATTATATAAAGAGACACTCAGCCTCACAGGGAAATACAAACAAAAAGGCAAGGACATACCACTTTGTACCAATTTGATAGGCAAAATTAAAGTAGTAACTAATAATAAGAAAAAGGAGGAGGGATACAGCAAATACCATACACAAAATAATGGATACACATATATGTTAAATACAAGGATCCTATGTAAGGGAAAAGGATAGGACTGAGGTATAGGCTGAATAGAGAAAACAGATGAAGGCCCTGAATAGATCAAAAATGACAGTATGTTATAAACTGAAGAGTATGAGTGACTCAATTTTGTGCATCAAGATTAAAAGAAAAACTTGATAAAGATACCAAGTAATTCTAGAAAATGCAAACCAATTTATAGTGGTGACAAAAGCAAATCAACAATTGCCAAAGGAAGGGGAGGGGAGTAGGAAGAAAGGATGATAGGCAGGAGGAAACTTTTGGGGGTGATTGGTATGTTCATTATTTTGACTTTGGTGACAGTTTCCCAGTTGTATACACGTGAAAACCTATTAAACATACACTTTAAATATGTGCAGTTTCTTGGATGGCAATTATACCTCAAATAAGCTGTTAAAAATATTTTTTAAAAATCAGGTATTACTACATGCCATGATAAAAATCTAGAGTGCCTATATAACTTCTTTTAGATCTAATTAAGTAATCTGTAATCAGCAAATAATTATAGTTTTTTACATATATTACCTGTGTTTGTCCCCTCTGAAATAATGCTGATCCATGAAGAGTTTTAAACAAATCTACCTCACAATTTATATTCCTAAGTGAAGTCAAATCTCGACCATCGCACCTATAGTAACAAAGGAAAGATGTAAAGCAGTATTCAAAAGCAGAAATATCACCTATGATCTCTTATTCCTACCAAGAAGTTCTCAAGCCCAGTTGTGTATCATATCACACATGGAACTTTAAGAACTTTTAAAAATAATTCAGGTACCCAGAGTCCCACCCTAATCCCACTGTATCAAATCTCAGGTTGTGACCCATACACTTGTACAGTTAAAAAAGTTCTGCAGGCAATTCTGACCTGCATTCAGGGTTGTGAAGCACTGTTCTACACATAAGTCCCACAGAGAATAAGTCAAACACATCCACACACTCTTCAACACTGATTTATAATATAATTCTTTAATGTTCACTTGAAAAAACCAGTTCCTTCCTTTGAAGTGCCACTTTATTTTTTTATTTTTTTTATTTTTTTTTAAGTTGCCACTTTCAAGGCAACTTACAGAGAGACATACTTTAATTCCATCAAGAAAGGATATATTTACCTTTTGTATTCATTCAAAATAATACTTCTAAAAACCTCCTTTGCAACAACATTGAAGGATTCTATTATTTCATATGTATCAGCCTCTGGAAATTTTTCTAAAGAAAGAAACCAAACAAAGGTTTTCTCTTTTTGGAAAATAAGGATTTCAATTCATAGTATCAAATCAGTTAACTGTGGGAGTAAACCAGGGAAATTGATGCTGAACATTTCGTCCTCTAGCAAACAAAATAGATAAATAAATGTTCTCAAGTAGGAGGGACACAGTATTATAACCTCAAATGTATTTTTACTGAGAACTTAATTTGCTTTTTACCAGAACAATAATGCTTTGTAATTAGCTCTCTATTGTAGAGAGACTAACAAATCCAGCTGTATTATGAAAAGGTCTGAATGACCCTTTTAAGATTAAGAATAATCACCTTCAATGTTTTTACCTTAGGAACTTTTATTGTAGTCTGCATATAGAGAAATAATTTTTTTATACATTACAAATTCCTACTGTTTGCCTATTTAGTTAACATTTATCAAATTCTTTCATGATCCATGTACTATACCATGTTTTAAATGCCTTTAATCTAACGATTTATGAAGTATATTATTATCACCATTCTAAAGAAGAAAAAACAGGCTTTTACAAAGTAAATTGCCAGAGAGACGCCTAAGTGGCTCAGTGGTTGAGCATCTACCTTTGGCTCAGGTCGAGATCCTGGTATCTTAAGATAGGAGAGAGGTTATTTACCCACCAGCAGAATTAACAAGAATTGAATGTCATGTTTAGTACATGGTCACTGATATTCACATAATAATTTCTAGAGAGCAAAATTCTCTAAAATCTAAATTTTACAAATCCACATATTAATAACACCATCAGTCAACAATTTTTGAACAGTTGGTATATGACAGACACAAAAGCAAATGACTAACCTATTTAATTACCACAAACCAGATATTTTCAGTATTAAAATTTCACAGATTAAGAGTCTGAGAATTTTAAAGATTATTTTTCAGATTTTCAAATGACATGATACAAAGTTTCCACTGTAGATTATAAGAACCTGATCCAGAAAAGACTGGTGCCAGCATTTCCTGGTGCTCACTCTATATCAGATGTAGTGCTGAACACATTCAGATTAAAGATTTTATTTATTTTTGAGAGTGAGTGTGAGCGCACATGTGTGCACATGAGTGCAGGGGAGAGATGGAGGGATAGGGAGAGAATCTTAAGCAAACGTGGAGCTTCATAACCCTAAGATCATGACCTCAGGTAAAATCAAGAGTTGGATACTTAACTGAATGAGCCACTGAGGTGCCCGTCACAGAAGTTAATTTAACAGTGACCGTGGGATGCATCATTATCACAAGCTTGCCAAAGATAAAACTAAGGAATAATGAAAATAACTGATTCTCTGAGATCTTAACAACTGTTAAAATCAGTTTTACAAATTATTTACAACGTAAAACATTGTTTTACAAATGTTAAAAATCTATTTTTCCCTTTAAATATTTTTTTAAATTAATAAACAAAGTTTACCTTTGAGTTGTTCCTCTGTATCTAACCTTATCTTGTTAATAGCTTCATCTCTAGAAATCTAAAAGAGAGCTGAGGTTCAGTATACATGGCAATATTTAACATTTCTGTTTTTATATTATTAGTCAACACATTGTAACAGTACTCAGATTTCTCTGGTAGTATTCTTTATTTTTTTATTTTTATTTTGTATTTTTTTATTATTATTTTTTTTATGATAGTCACACAGAGAGAGAGAGAGAGAGAGAGAGAGAGGCAGAGAGAGAAGCAGGCTCCATGCACCTGGAGCCCGACGTGGGACTCGATCCCGGGTCTCCCCAGGATCATGCCCTGGGCCAAAGGCAAGCGCCAAACCGCTGCGCCACCCAGGGATCCCCTCTGGTAGTATTCTTTAAAAGATTAGAGCTGGTTATTGATTTACAAGAAATATTACCTGTTTAATTCATTCAAATATATATTTACCCACTTCCCTAAAACTTGCATTAGTCAACAAAAGAAGAACGGAGAAGCAAATATAGGCTTCTATTTAGCTTTCTGTTTAGAGATTTTTAATAAAAATTCATAAATCATGTGAATTATGACAAAAAAGAATTCCCAGAACAATTATATGACAAAATTCAGGTATACCTACTTTATCATGTTCATAATCAGTAAAAACTGCATAGAGTCTTTCCATCGTGAGTCTATTTTAAGCACAAAATAAATGTCAGCATAATAATATTGTTAACAGTCTAATAATACTATTATAAATAAAATTGCAGTATTTAACAGTAAGCTAAAATATTTAATAGGCACTTCATAAAGAATTAAAAATATGTACTTATTGTTCTTTAACACAGCTAATCAAAATATGTACTTATTGTTCTTTAACACAGCTAATCACAATATACCACACAAATTTCTTTCTCCCCATCTGTCAGGGAAATCACTTACACATGGTACTTACTATATATGCCCTCCTTTCTTAATTGTTCAATTTATTTCACCTTAGATTTTTTTTTTTTTTTACACGCAAACTTTCTCTCCCCATTCTTTTTTAACTTCATTTTTCTATTCTATCCATTTTGGCTGTTACTGCAGGCAACTACTTTGTTAGGGACAGTTCATATCTCTAGTCTCTGACTGATAGATGTAAGACTAATTATGAAGGGAAATACTAACTTTTTCAATTTATTTGAAATAAAATGAAATATTTTTCTGGTGATTTCATTCATATTTACTGAATGCATGCCTATGTACTGGCACTATTGTAAGTACTGAGTATATAGAGGTGTATAATTAAGTATATAGAGGTGTATATAGAGTATACACTGAGTATACACTATAGTATACACTATAGTATACACTATATACTGAGTATATAGAGGTGTATAATTAAGTATAATTTCAAGAACCTCAACAATTTCCTTAGATATTCAAATATACTTTGTTCTTTTTTCCTTCTTTGGCATAGAGAGATAGGCAGATTATCTGAATCTTAACCGATAAACTCACTCCCTCTTTCATTTGAGATTCAAACTTGGGCCCTTGAAGTGGGAACTGGCTTTATCCTTTTTAAAGCATTAGGCTCATATTTATTATGGTGCTCACTTTTAACATAGAAAAAGTGTCCTATAAGAAGTACTGCACAGACTATGCTTCCATGGTAAGCTTTTTTTCAGAGAGGAAATTAAATTGGTAACAACTTCAAATTTTCTTTTGTATAGATATTCTTACTTATGAATGTGTTCCACAATCTCTGGTGAAGGGGTAAATAACTTCTGAGGTGTCCTCTTGGTAACACCAATTTCTTTTACCAACTGCTGGATGCCCTGAATTATTTGTTGGGTATATTTTACCCCCACTTTAATAGCATGGCAAAAGTCCTGTTGTAAAATGTTCTCCGCAGAGGCTTCCATCATCACTATTTAAAGGGGAGAAAAAAAGATTGCCATTGAACCTTTTACCAGTATAGCATTTTTAAGCATCATGACATGATATAAATACTACAGATCAGTTTTACTTATTAATGGTATATCTACCTTTTTAATTTCATTACTTAGAATCAACATACTTCCAAAACGTAAACAGCAATAAATGAATAAAGAAACCTTAATATTTGAAATTAGGTTTATAATTTTCTTGAATTTATTAAGGGATTTACTTAATCCCTTAATAATTAATTTAATAAGGGATTTCTCATTAAATAATGAAACAAACTGCATCCTTATAATTCAAGTATCATAAAATTCTACCTTTAAAGCATAAACTGCATTTATTTTTAATATGTATTTAAATTGAAATTTTTAAAATAACAGCATAGTAGGAATCCAACAAATGTTTTCTGTTTAACAATTATTTGATGTGTCCTCCTTCTTAATTCTGTCGTTTTCACATTGTCAAATGCTTGCACAGGTGGGGGGAAATCTTTTGCAGTGATACTGTTTCAAGTAAGCCAACTAGAGAAGCATAGCTATTATTAAAAGGCTGCTTTTACGGTTTTGTAATAGTAAAAACAATCCTTTGTAAAGCAGGAGAGTTCCAAGAAGCACTTCTAGCATGATATCCAATAAAATCTGTCTTCAGGTTTGGCTTTAGTTTCTGCCAGGCTGATAGACTCCTGATTACTCATGTGTCATTTCTGGCACTCCTCAATTTGCACAAAGATTGTGTAATCTGTTTAATCACATAGTGTTGTCATTAAGATTTATTATCTAAATCATCATATGTAAAGCTTCTAGGTATAATCTAGACTGAAAAAAAAATCTCCTTATGTGCTTTTTGTATTGTATTAGTGTGTTGGAATTCCAACAGTTAAAGCCAACCTATGAAACTAAAACAAAAGATCTAACATTTATGTCATCTGAGTTCCAGAAAGAGAGGATAAAGATGGCAGGCTGAAAAGTACTGGAAAAATAATAGCTGAAAACTCCCCAAATTTGGCAGAGACATAAATGTACAGATTCAAAAAGCTGAGTAAATCCTATACAGGGTAACCCAAAGAAACACATATCCTAATTAAATTCCTGAAAACCAAAAGAAAAAAAAATCTTGAAACCAACCAGAGAAAAAAAACACCTTACCTATATGGGCAAAGTAACTAAAATAAGAGATTTATCATTAGAAACCATAGAGGCCAGAAGGGAGTGGCAAAATATTTTTTAGGTGCTGAAAGAAAAGAACTGCCAACCCAAAATCCTATACCTAGTGAAAATGTTTAGGGAATGAAGGAATGAATATTTAGGAATGAAGGAATTCTCCTCAGATGAAGGATAACAGTGGCAGACCTACTGTCAAAGAATGGCTAAAGGAAGTTCTTTAACAAAACAGAAACAAGAAAGAAAGAAACCATGGGATATCAGTAAGGAAAAGTACCTTAATATTAAGCAAAAATGGAGGTCAATACAATATACTTTCCTTCTCCTCTTGAGTTTTCTAAATTATGTTTGATGACTGAAGCAAAAGCAAGAATTATAATAAGGCCTGTTGTGGTCCTAAATGTAGAGGAATATTAAAATGGTTATATTACAAATGGGGAGGATAAGGCACAGTAAGGTTTCAATATTTCACTTGAGGTGTAAAGCAGCTTTTCTGACACAACGTTACTGAGATGGTTATATTATTCTCATTAGTATTCCCATGACATTCTCTCTCTCTTTGCAAATTAAACTTAACTGAAGATTTTTAAAAATGCCTTTGACATATGTAAATTATACCTCAGTAAGTTGACTTAAAAGAGAATAAGGAAGAAATAATATGGTAAAAAAAATTTAATATTCCTCAGACTTTGTTGTTTTCCCTTCTTCAAAACAATTCATTTTTTAAAAAATATTTAAGAAAATTCCTTATAGTTTTGTGTCTATAGACCTGTGCTGTCCAATATGGCAATTACTAGCTCCATGTGGTTACTTGCATTTAAATAAATTAAAATTATGTAAAATTAAAAATTCAGTTCCTAAGCTACTCTCGCCACATTTCAAGTACTCAGTAGCCACATATTCAGATATAAAACATTTACTTCATAGCAGGGTTCTACTGGACAGCACTGTGTTACAGACTAAAAACTTACACTAAAAAAGGTTGTCTAAATGATTGGTCTAAACTGTTAACCATTTCAGTAGTTGAAGATTAGAGAGTTTTGAGATTAGTTGAAAACTATGAATTCTAGATACAAATTTATCTTAAAAATTGTTAATGGTATACTTTTTCCTAAATTATATCCTAGCATACATAGAAAGATGAGTGATTATTTAGTGTACCAGTTAAAAGCAAGCAGAATGTGCAGAATGATGGCTGCTGAAGTTATCTAGCAGCCAAGAGCAAAAGAAATAAATTATTCTTGCCCTATAAGGTCATACTTTAAAGATTTATATTACTAAATATTTTAACAATGGAATGGCAGCAATTACTTTTCTGTATTTTTATATCCCAGAAGTTCCATGATGATGGTATGGGACTTGGGCCCAATAACTTTAACAAATGGACATGAAGTCAAATGTATATTTGGTGCACTGTTATGAAAGCAGAGAACTAGCTGAATATCTTCATAAAGACATAAAAAAGGAGCTGGTAATCTCTGAAACCAGTCTCTATCGGTTGCCTCTGAATCACTCTTAACCTTCTCCTAGTTACTTAAAACAACCTTCTGATGCCTTGTGCAGTCTCTAGAGTCTAATTCGTCCATCTAGAGAGCAAGAGGTAAGAAGAGCAAGCTAGAAGTTGCCTATTAGTTTTTACAGCATGCCACAGATGCAACAAAAATCCTCAGTTTATTCCTGCAACATCTACATAAAATTAGAGGGGTTCAAAGTCTAAGGCAGGTAGAGGCTTATGGCCATTAAGAAGCAAGTTTATTTCTGTGTCTTAATGATAACAGCAGGTATTAACAGTATGCCTACCATGTACTAGGCATTATGCTAGGCATTTTACAAATCCTGACTAATCTTCACAATGCCCTATTAAGTAGCCAAACCAATTTACTTAGTGAAAGTAATGAATACTGTAACTTTAAACAAAAAAATTCATATGCAGACCAAGTAAACCTATACTTTGCTCAAGGCACTTTCTGGGATGCTCAAGTATGTAGGGGTTATCTGTTATTCATAGCTTCCCCAAAACTTCGGAATCTCCCCCAAATCTTCTCTTTCTCTCTACACTGTGATAGTTCCCCACAGTAAGAATCTCACCTTTTGGAGCTAGAATCTTGCTTCCCCTGTAGTCAAGAATGCAATCATGCATTAATGGTTCTGCCTAGTGTGATGTTAGTGAAAACTGGTATGTGGAAGCTCTAGGGAAGCTCCTTGAAAGGGAGAGTAACGTATTCAGCTGGTGTATACCTTTTTCTTCCTTTTGTCTATACATCAGGTAAGTTGGCCAGAGCCTGAATAGCAGGTTCATAAGCATGAAGATGAAGGGCACACCTTGAGGACACCAGAGCAGAAAACTGGAAGGAATCATCTAGAATTCTTAAGATATTGTGGAGCCAGGGGCACCTAAATGGCTCAGTCAGTTAAGTGTCCAACCCATGATTTCAGCTCAAGTCATGATTTCAGGGTCATGAGATTGAGCCCTGGGACGGACTCCACAGTCAGCATGGAATCTGCCATGCACATATGGTGCATACACATATGTGTGTGTGTGTCTAAGTCTGTGTGCTCTCTAATAAATAAAATCTTAAAAAAAAAAAAAGATATCATGGAGCTACTCTCTCCTGGACTCCCTTGTTATTTACTTTAGCAACACACTCCCTAACCAATATGTAGATAACATACAACCCCTATTATATGTGTTTTATCTACCATATAGTACCTGATTCTATCTCCATTACTGACCACTATTCCAAAAGAAGCTGGAAATGAAGTGTTTCACACATTAATTGTACAAAAAAGTACTAAAAATACTGAATAGTTTACATTTATATTTCATCAAAATATTTCCGTATCAGAAGATCCCATGTCAGAAAAGTCCCAGACACTAAATATCAGGCAGTAGAAAAAACGGAGACCTTAATTAATTTGTCCAAGGTCATACAGTTAACAATATGTAGTTACTGGGTTCAAACACAGGTCATTCTGACTATCAAAGCCAATTCTTCAAGAGAACTGGGCCAATTTTCATTCATACAATTATGATATTTTTGTTACAAGGAGAGTGACCTATGATCAGTTCATTTCTTCATTAGTTTTCTACCTACCAGAAATAGGTCACCTTTTTTTCTCAGAGAACATTAAACAGGTTCTCAATGATGAATTAGCTAAATTAACATATTTAAACTAATAAAACAATTTACTACCAGATTTAGAAATTCAATTTTTAGACTAGCTTATTAGTCTAAAATTAATTACCAAAACTACCTGGGTAAATAAAGATTTCTTGTATATTTTAATTGAAGCTTTATCACATTCTATAATTTTAGGTTTTGTTTGATATGGAGCAAGAGCACCACCAAAATAGGGCAGTAATAAAACAGAACAAAAATTTTTATGGCTAAGTGATAAAACACACATACACAGAAGACTATAAATGCATTATTAAGAAGCTAGAACTTACAGTAAAATCCCGAACAAATGTAATACTTAAACTACTTACCAATTTGACTTTTAGGTGCCCCAGCAACCACTAAATTTAAAGTACTGGAAGACATTTCTTTCCGAGTTGGGTTAACAACACACTCTCCATCAATCATTCCTATTCGCACTGCCCCTAAAATATATCAAAATAGTTGTGTAATAAAAAGTCTCCGTTTTCAAAAAAAAAAAAAAAAGTCTCAGTTCTCAAGACACTATTCCAGTGATAGCTTCAATCTCTACCTTCAATTGTGACTACAATAAAATCCTATTTCTCTCATGGTATTTAAGGCCCAGAGAATGTCCTATACCACCCTACCCAACAGCCGCAAGGAACATTCTGAGTTGCTCAAATACATCAGTTTTTCTATGCCTCAGTGATTACACTCATGTTCTTCTTGACTAGACATCCTTTTCCAAGGCAAATGCTTACCATTTGATCCTCCTAAGATTCACCTTTAATGTTGAGTACTCTGAGAAGCCCTCCTTGACAACCTGATTAAACCCACCCTTCTCTATTGTTTTTTTTTTTTTAGTGTTTTCACTATACCTTTATAATATTGTTTATAAATAATTATTTGATTGTTTCCCCTACTTACACTGAAAGCAAGAACTATTCCTAGACTTCCTTTCTTCTTTCAATTCTTAGCTTGGTATCTGATATTTAGGATATTCAAAACTTATTTAATCAATGAATCATTTTTATATTGCATGATTCCATCTTTTTCAAGAAAAAAATATGTTTTTCAGGGACACCTGGGTGGTTCAGCAGTTGAGCGTCTGCCTTTAGGTCAGGGCGTGATCCTGGAGTCCTGGGATCTAGTTCCACATCGGGCTCCCTGCATGGAGCCTACTTCTCCCTCTGCCTATGTCTCTGCCTCTCTGTCTCTCATGAATAAATAAATAAAATCTTAAACAAACAAACAAAAAATATATATGTTTTTCAAATCTTAACTTACCAATAGGTCCATTCCAAGGAATATCTGATAATGAGAGAGCTACAGAAGCTTAAAAAAAAGAAAAAGAAAAAAAATAAGGGCTGAAACAAAAAGGTTTCATTCTTTAAACAGTGATAATGTTAATCTTGATTTTTATACTTACCACCATTAATTGCTAAAACATCAGGTTCATTAACTCCATCTACTGCTAATAGATTACAAAGTACCTGGTACAAGGGAGAAAATTTAGAGCACTAAGAATAAAAATGTACTTGATTTAGGAGGATTATCATTTTGGTTAACATTTTGGGCTAAAATAAAGGAGCACTATGTGTGGTTAAAAGCATGAGCTATGGGACACCTGGGTGGCTCAGCGATTGGGCATCTGCCTTGGGCTCAGGGCATGATCCCAGAATCCAGGATCAAGTCCCACATCAGGCTCCTTGCAGGGAGCCTGATTCTCCCTCTGCCTGTGTCTCTGTCTCTCTCTCTGTCTCTCATAAATTAATTAATTAAATCTCTAAAAATAAAAACCATGAACTTTGAAGTCATATTTCTGGCTGTCATTTAACTAGATGCCTGACTACAGTAATTTACTTAAGCCTCAAAAGTTTCCTCATCTTTAAAAGGGAAAAATAACAGAATCTTCTAAAAAGGTTTTCTGAAAGTTATAGGAAATATTTTTAAAGCATTTATAATACTGGGCATGTTGAAAATATTCAGTAAATGTTAGCTATTTCTATTACATAAAAATACTGTTTTTCTGTTTATAAGCATATACAAAACAAACTGATGAATTCCTTTATACTGCAATAATATGCCTATGTCATATACTTAAGAAAACAACTTCTTAAAAAAAGAAAAAGACTACTTGAGGCAATGACATCATTGCATAGGTACATTTGGAAAGCATATTTTTATCAAAGAAATAAAAGTTCACTAAAGCATATGGTTCATTATTCTGAAAGAGAATTCTATTCACAAAATATTAATAGAAGTTTAAAGGACCCAATAAAATTGGTAACAAAGATTAGTTGTATTGATTGTCCTAGCCTCTGACACTAACATAATAGTCCCAGCCAGATCTGTTCCCACCCTTCTCAATCACTCTAAACTTTCAAACTCATCAGTTTCCTGCCTCAGAGCTTTTGTGCTTCTCATTCTATCTGCTCAGAATGCTTCCCCCACACCCCTAGGTTGGCTAACTCCTAGCTCATAATCCAGGTATCAACTCAAATTGACATTGAATAAATATTAATTTTTAAAATTACTGAAGTTTAGAAAACTTAATGTAAAAGAGCAGCATTACCAAAAATTCTTATTTTGTGTTCCAATGGTTAGTTAGCCTAAGTAGTATGAGAGAAATTCATTAAGTAATTTTTGACTGATCTGGAAACAAATAAACCTAAAGCAGAATCTACCTGTGTATCATAAAAGTAGCCAGCTGGAAAGAGAGGTCTAATTGAACGATCTGCCAAAAGAAAAAAAAGAAAAGACGCCATTGTAAGCATTTATAATACTGGGCATGTTGAGACCAGGCTGAAAAATAACATAGCTGTTATTAATGAATTAACATATCAATATGTTAAAAAAAAAATCCCCTTGGACTGATTTACTGAAAGGGTCACAGATAAATGTCAATGCTTCAATTAATATATACCATGCCCTAATAATAAAACTAGCAGGGCAGGAACACACAAGTCTAAAATTGGGTAGCAACTTTTCATTCTGGTTCATATATAAGCAGAAGAAAGAGACTTAAGGCCCGCAGCAGACCTTGGTATTCTGTGTCTGAAGTATACACAGACTAACAATTTCTGTATAGAAAAGCCATAAACTCAGATGATCCCACAATATTTAAGGATGTCAAAGATTTGAAAGATTACAGATTTCAGTAATTGATGAATATAACGCTTTCAAGAATTACTATGCTGAATATGAAAATGAAAAATACTAGGGACAGCTTGTAGAGGCATAAGCCACAGAATTAATATGCTCAATAAAGATTCATTCATTTCAGCTACATATATTTATTAAACGCCTATTTTGTGCCGGGTAGTATTCCAAATACCCTGGATTCAGCAGTGAATAAACAGCTTTTTCTTTCATGGAGCCCATATCTGAGGGGATACAGAAAATAAACAATCTCAGGCAGTGTTCCTGTAATGGAAGAAAACTTAGAGAACTGTTGAATATAGATAGAAGAAATGCTAACACAGGCATAAGAGAGTTACTGCCTCTACCTTAGCATCTTACCTATTACTCGACTTGTAAGAACTTCTTTGTCAGAGGATCCAACCTCTCTTCTGAGATAGTTTGTGGGAATTCTACCTGCTGCAGCAGCCTTCTGTCTGTAGTCAACCTAAAGTAGTAATGAAAAAACAAAAGTTCATTGGACTCCTTTTTATGGCAACAAGCTATTTCCCAAGAATGACACTATACAGATACTAATTCTCCTGAGGTTGCTAACAACATGGTCCAGATTAAGAATGGAGGATATTTTATTGACTTTTAGCATTTTGTATCTCTATGGGAAGGGAAAATTGATAGAAATATTTCAGTAAATTGATTTTTAAGAAGCCTTCCACTTAGCAGTGAACTACAAAGCCTCATTACTTCCCACAGTGGGTTATTCGGATCACATCAAACATACCCTTTTTTGTATCAACTGTTAAATAAACAGTCCCCTTTTCATAACACAAAGAAGCCACAAACTCCTACAGCACTTACTCTTCACCAAACATGTACTTGCAGACTCATTCTGAAGGGAAACCTATGAAAGCAATGAATTGATTGCTACTCAACATCAAAGTCTTCATGTACTTCATTGTTCTTATCAACTTGGAGATTCTAAAGCATGCTTGCTACTAATATAAGAACTGGTTATGAAGCAATCAGTCTAGATTCCTTTAATGACTCAGCATCAAACAACAAAGGAATATTCTTTATTGTGCGAAGTTTACACTGTGCACTCCTTAGACATCAGACAGAAATATTACAAATTCTACATTTATGCCATATTACTGTTCAGATAAATCAGCAGATACTTACCACCAAAGGCATGAACTGGGAAGGTGAAGGTTTTGTTTTGCTGACGGCTGTGACCATCACCGCAGTGTCACCTGACTTAAACATAAACAACACTGGTAAATTCCTTAAAAATCAGACATTAACATCTAAGCAGTGACTGAATCAATCCTTGCTCTAGTTAAATACAAGGAAAGAGAATGATTATTCCATGACACAACGTAATGAAAATAGTTAATCACAACTAGTCCAAACTTGATCCCTTCTACAAGATCAAGAAAAGGCTTATTGAGGGACACCTGGGTGGTTAAGCATCTACTTTCAGCTCAGGGCATTGATCCTGAAGTCCTGGGATCGAGTCCCACACCAGGCTCCCTGCATGGAGCCTGCTTCTCCTTCTGCCTATGTCTCTGCTCCCCCCCCCCGCCCCGTCTCATGAATAAATAAATAAAATCTTTAAAAAAAAACAAAAGAAAAGGCTTATTGATAGCTCAGTCACATCCAATCATATTTTTCTACTTCTTCTGGAGAAATTTAGGCTATATACAAAGAAAAATTTCTCACTTATCACAATTAAAATAGTAAGATCATATTCTCTAGAAAAGCATTACAGAATTTATTAAAAGTAAAATAGAACTCCAACTTTGAAACAGATCTTAAAGGTCATTTAATATATCCAGCTCTCCTGACTCCGTGGTTCTTTGGAATAGTTCTAAAACTAGAAACGGTCTGCATTAACTTAAAGTATCACAATTCTGAGAAGTTACATGATGTAAAAATAGTATCAGTCTCCACAACCATTTTTAAGATAAAAATGTAAAAATCTAGACTTTTTACCTGTACTACAGCGGAGCCATCTGCAAATCTGGCCAGTTTTCCAGAGGATATTTCTAATTTTCTGTTTAAAAATAAAAATTCAAGACAAAAGGACTTAGGTCATCAATACAAATCTCAGCTTAATATAAAATAATCTACTATTCTAATAGAAGAACTAAGCCGCAGAGGCCCCAGCCTAGCAAAAAACAACACAAAAAAGGGATAGAGTTCACAATCACTATTAAAAGTACTAGGGGGGGATCCTGGGTGGCTCCGCAGTTGGGTTTCTGTCTTTGGCTCAGGGCATGATCCCGGAATCCAGGATCCAGTCCCATATCAGGCTCCCTGCATAAAGCCTGCTTATACTCCCTCTACCTATGTCTCTGCCTCTCTGTGTATCTCTCATAAATAAATAAATAAATAAATAAATCTTAAAAAAAATAAAATAAAAGTACTAGGGGAATTTAAGAGCTGCCTAAGGAAAAATATAGACACTAAGGCATAGGAGCAATCTGAATGAGAGGTAAAGTACTCTGGGGGTGAGGAAGCTGTGTTTGTAAATGTTAATTTCCATTTACAACCTTTGTTTAGTCTGTCCATCCTTGCCTTCTTGATAAAAGTAGCCTTTTAACACACAAATGAGATCCTTTCTCTACTTAAAATCCTTTAAAGTATCCCTCAATGCTTTCAGGACAAAATATAAATTCCTAAATATTGCCTACAAAGACCTTCATGTTCAATAATGGTGTCAAGACAAGTGGGGGGGGAGGGAGTGGGAGAATAGCCTTTTCAACCAGAGGTGCTAAGACAACTGGACACCCATATACTGACAAATTAATAAAGTTGGACCCCCTTCCACATACTATAAATAAAAAAATCAACTCAAAACGTAGTATAGAACTAAATGTAAGAGCTTAAAACTATAAAATTCATAGGAAAACACATAGGAGTAAATCTTCATAAACTTGGGTTAGACAATGTCTTATATGACATCAAAACCACAAGTGACAAAAGAAAAAACAAATTGTACTTTATCAAAATTAAAAACTTTCATGTTTCAAAGGGTACCAAGAAAGTGAAAGAAAACCCACAGAATAAAAAAAATTTGCAAATCATATATCTGATAAGGGACCTGTATCTAGAATATGGAAAGAATACTTACAACTCAATAAGAAGACCAACAATCTAATTTAAAATTGGCAAAGGATTTGAAGTCTATCCAAAGAAAATCTACTAAATAGTTACGTATATCAAAATATGCTCAATATCATTAACCACCAGAGAAGTGCATTCATAACCACAATGAGACATACTTTATATCTACTAGGATGATTATAGTCAAATAGATCAATAACAAATTTTGGTGAGGATATGGAGAAACTAGAACCCTCATATACTATTTTTGGAAAGGTACAATGGTACATCTTCTTTGGGAAACAATCTAGCAATTCTTCAAGAGGTTAAACACATAAGTGCCACAGGATCCAGCAATTCTACTCCAAGGTAAAGACCCAAAAGAAATGAAAACTTGTATGTCCATGCAAAAATTTGCATAGAAACATTCATAGCCACTGCATCATTCATAATGGTCCCAAAATGGAAACAATCCAAATATATGTCCACCGATAAATGAATAAGCAAAATGTGGTCTCCCTGCATACAATGGAATATTATTCAGCCATTTAAAAAACAAAGTATTGGGCAGCCTGGGTGGCTCAGCAGTTTAGTGCCACCTTCAGCCCAGGGTGTGATCCTGGAGACCCAGGATCGAGTCCCAGAGTCCCAAGTCCCAAGTCGGGCTCCCTGCATGGAGCCTGCTTCTCCCTCTGCCTGTGTCTCTGCCCCCCGCCCCCTCCCCCACTCTGTGTGTGTCTCATGAATAAATAAAATATTTTAAAATAAATAAATTTTTTTAAAAAATGAAGTATTGAGGTCCCTGGATGGCTCAGTCAGTTGGGTGTCTGACTCTTGGTTTTGGCTTAGGTTGTGAATTCATGCGTCATAGGATGGAACCCCCCACTCTCCAAATCAGGCTCCTCACTCAGCAAGGAGTCTACTTGAAAGATTCTCTTCCTCTGTCCCTTCCCCCACTCTGGAGCTCTCTCTCTCTAAAAATAAATAAATAAACCTTTTTAAAAAATGAAGTATTGCTATGTGTTACAACATGGATATAACTTGGAAACATAATTAACTTAAAGAAGGCAGTAACAAAAGACCAAATGTCATATAATTGACATATGACATATAGTTGACAACCATTGAATTGTACATTCTAAATGGGTAAATTGTATGGTATGTAAATTATGTATTAATAAAGCTGTCTTTATAGATAGTAAATAGGCAGTATTATCAGTTTTATTCCCCAGCTTCTGCAGAGTATAAAAAGAGGTTACTGAAGGCTTGAAACAGATCAGTATCACTTGTCAAAGAAACCAATTTTCATAAGTGTATTGTGAAGCCAAACCAATTCTGCCTTCTGAAGATACTGAGGAAGATGTTCTGTCTCATGAAGGCTGCTTCAGAAACATTTTATCATGGTCCAGTGCTGAATACATACACACATACACATACACACACACACACACAAATGCCCTGCCCCCCTATCCTTCACATGCAAAAAGGATAAGGAGAGAACTCAATATTTCTACCCATTAAACACTTTTGTCAGAAACCTGAGTTCATGAAAAGCCTATTTATCTATTCAACAGACTCATTTTGTTAAATTTGAAAGCCAAAAAAAGAGGCATATTCACTTGTACTTTCAGTCCTAACTTTGAAAAATTTTGAGGATTTTTTTTAACCACAAGAAATATTTGAGAAATTCTAGTTGGGTTTCTATTACCATTCACCACAGATGTTGTGATGACAGCCTACAATAAAATGGGTTAAGAGTTGACAGATGGAGTAAGGTGCAGAGATAAGGAGATGGCATAGTAAGTGGAGGGAATGAGATGCTCAGAGCCAGTCACACTCTGTAGCCTCAAACTACAGCTAAAATCAATATTAATGTTTTATGTGTAAAAGTAAATCTGGGGTCTTGAAATTTTGTTTAATCCAGAATATGTTACCAGTACTTCTCAAGAGCTATCAGGAAGTGGCATTCCATCTAATAATGTAATTTCTGAATGGTCCCTATGAAAGGAAGGAGATCATCTCTAAATAAATTGAAGTGAGTCCAACACAGAGAAAAGGAGCTGTGAAAGTTCTAATTTTTTCCATTAACGGGGATCTTGCCCCAGAATTTTTGGGATTACTTTCAGTGGCATATTCTTTTACATATCCTCAGCGATAGTAAGTTTTTATTCTTTAATGAAGTTATAATTTGCACAGAGGATCAAGAGAAGGCAGTAGAGAACAGAGGTTAAGAACATGGGTGTTCTCTGAATAATGATAAGCATCACTGGAATAAAATAATTCTTCAGTCTGCAGATGACATCTATCACTTTTTATTAGGTTCCACTGGTGAACACCAGTCACGTGGCCCCACCTATGAAGGGACTAGCAATATACCAAAAAGGGCACACATACTTACAAAGCCTGAGGCAAGGAGTAGATCACTCACTCCCGTTAAGAACCAGCCCTTCCAAATTATATTAGCAGGCAGAGAAATGGAGCTGAGGAAACACTGTTAAGCTTCTAAAACTAACCTATTTACAATGGGAACTGACTGAATCAGTGAGAAAAACAAGTCTGCAATACCCCCAGCTATTCTCATACATGTACGCTTCCATTTATATGTTTATTCAAACACCACAATCTCCTGCCTTCTTTGTTCCCTCTGTTAAGTCTACTCAGTGTCTCCATTAGAGATCTTAGGCCATCCACCAGACAATCCTATAGTCCTGCCTTGGTGATTGCCCGAATCTGCACTCTTTTTCTTCCAGGTGTGTGCAATTTATATTACACAAAGAAGCAGGCGGTTTCTTTTCAGTATATCTCATGATCTCACCTGATATTAACTGACCTATGTAATTTTTTCCTGTTCATGCACTTTTAGTTGTGTTTTTGATGCTAATTTGTTATTACTTTTATACGTCATGGTTGATTTTATCTCTTTATTAATTTACTCTGTAGTATTTTAGGTTTTTGAGCTTTTAAAAATGTTTAACCATGTGAATGTTTACCTAATGTGAATGAATAAAAAAAAAAAAACACACTTGAAAACATCAAATAAGGGGATCCCTGAGTGGCTCAGCAGTTTGGCACCTGCCTTCGGCGCAGGGGCGTGATCCTGGAGTTCTGGGATCTAGTCCTCCATCGGGCTCCCTCATGGAGCCTGCTTCTCCCTCTGCCTGTGCCTGTGCCTCTGCCTCTCTCTGTGTCTCTCACGAATGAATAAATAAAATATTTTTTTTAAAAAAAGAAAACAAAAGGATTAGGATTATCAGTAATTTCTATTGGTGGGTGGAAGGATGGGAAAAGGTAGCTGAGGAAGAGCAGAGCTGGCTGCCACAGGCGGTAGAATTCTAGGGAGAGATGTTTAAAAATAAAACATTTTTAGAAACATCTGCACAATAATGTGGAATGTAACAAACCACCTTCCTCCAACTCCTACCGAGAAAAATTCTGTAATACCAAACTAAAAAGACAAATATCTTTATGATTCAGCCTCTGCCTGTCATTTGGTTTTACCTTTTATGCTAACCTCACATTTCACCTTTTGCTTCATCAATAGTGAGCTATTTGTAGCTACTCAAAATGCACTCTTACCTCCCTGTAATTGCACTTACCACTTTCTCCCTGCTAATTTCTCCTCCTCCCCCTTCAAGATTCACCTTTGATGGCAAGCTTTAGGGTGGGGTAAATATGCCTTTGTGCTCCTTTGGTACCCCATTCACACCTCTGCTACAGTGATTTTCCCAGTACTGCACCTGTGTTTATCTTACTCGCTCTCAGACTCTGTATCTACTGTACCCTGTACATAGTAGATGCTCAGTAAAAGCTTGTTGAAATGAAAATTAAACAGCTGCCTCAGAGATACCTCTGAATATTAAGTACAGCATTTGAAAAACACAATAATTATAATCTAAAGCATATTTACAATATATATCTACAATACAATACACATGGTAACAAATATAAAAATGAATGGTATATAGTCAAATTCAATAAATGCTACAAAAAACAAACTTAATACAAAGATGAAAGAACTGATTTACCCAGCTGGTATGATATTCATGAATCTAGTTGTTACACACAGGTTCAAGAAGAACTAAGTACAAGAGATCCAGGTTGACTATAAATGAAATATTTAAAGTAGATTATTTATGGAAAATTTGGAAGGCAGGGGCTAATACTGTTGCTTTGCCACCCTTAAAAGAGTCCATTTAGCGCACAGCAGGTTCTGAGGTATTTCTTCAAAGACTATTAAGTCATTGAAAAATGGAAGAGATTGGGATCCCTGGGTGGCGCAGCGGTTTGGCGCCTGCCTTTGGCCCAGGGCGTGATCCTGGAGACCCGGGATCGAATCCCACGTCGGGCTCCTGGTGCATGGAGCCTGCTTCTCCCTCTGCCTGTGTCTCTGCCTCTCTCTCTCTCTCTCTGTGACTATCATAAATAAATAAAAAATTTAAAAAAAAATGGAAGAGATTCTCTCCCTCAAAAAATCAGAATCAAAGAATGCCAGAGGTGGAAAGTGCCTTAGAGATCTAGTCTAGGGATCAACAAACTATATAGCCTGCTTCTGTACAGCCTTTCAGATAATTTTTATTATATATTTCTAAAGGTTTTGTAAGCACACACATGTATGTAACAGACAGTATGTAGCCCACAAAGCTTTAAGTGTTTACTATCTGGCCCCTTACTGAAAAATCTAACCCTTAACGTAGACCAGTCTTCTCATTTTGCGACAAAAAAGTTAAGCAGCTTGTTCAGGATCAGTCATTCAGTAAGTTAGAAAGGAAGACCTTTAATCAATGGCAGATTTTTTTCAGCTTTTCGTACAAAGTAGGGTCAAAAATTTTAAAGTACATTTTAAAAAAAGGTAGATATATAAAGTAAGCATTAGCAATTTCATTCACCTCTAAAAATGATCCGTTTTTAAAAAGTAATTTTAGGGCAGCCCGGTGGCTCAGTGGTTTAGCGCAGCCTTCAGCCCAGGGCCTGATCCTGGGGACCCGGGATCCAGTCCCACGTCGGGCTCCCTGCATGGAGCCTGCTTCTCCCTCTACCTGTGTCTCTGTCTCTCATTAATAAATAAAAATCTTCTAAAATTTTTTTTAAAAAGTAATTTTAGATGTGAATTATGGCAACCGGACCCATGGAAAAAGTATGGGTTTGGAAAGAAATACAAAATCCACTTAGTCTCAAAGTAGGTGATTCTGAGAACGTTACCCCTTTGGAGCCTCTGTTTTAAGTATGAAATGGGGTAAAAGCACCTTTAGTGCAGGTTTATAGTGTCACATTCCTAGCGTCCAATAAACCTACGTTTTCCTTCCCTTCCTACTACCTAAGGTCATATTGGCCCTGCATTTCGGCAATAAAACGGACTGGATGACCTAAACATCCCCCACTCCTCCTGAAGTGGAATGTTGCCCACTTCCAGGAGTGCCGGCAAATAAAGGGGACGAAAGTCGGGCTGGACAGACGCAGCTGAATCAAGGAAGCCGGAACAGGGTGAAAGGGAGGACAGAGAAGCAAAGGACACGAGGCTGAGACGGCGCGGGAAGGGGGAGGGGCCGGGAGACAGACTCAAACCCAGAACGGGACATCTGGCATTTAGGTTTGGGATAAAGAAGGGCAAGAGACCTGCGCGGCCGGATTCCTAGCCTGGTGGGTGACTGCCCCTCGGGCTGCCGGGGCAGGGCGCCTTGGAAATGACAGAGAACGCAAACTGCTCCTTACCTGTTGCCTAAGTCCACGGCCACAGCTCGGAACCCCGTGCCACTCCATAGTGCTCGCACCTGCAACTGGGTGAGCGCCCGACCCCGCCCTGGCAGACGGACGGGGCCCTCGCGGAGCGGCCGAAGCCGGAGGCACGAGCAGCAACGCCTGCAGGCCGCCATGACACCCGGCACGCGACCACCGCGGGCTGCACCCCGATTGGCTCGCTCCGCAGGCGCGGGGCGGGGCCTGCTGCAGTTTCGTTTCCGCGGTGCTGGGGCCGAGGGAACCCGTGGCCGCGGTACCCAAGTCGCTTTCTACGGAGACTAGAGAGGGTCAAGCCTATTTGAGCGCAAATCGTGACAACCGATCTTTCCTATTTGAGCGTCCGCCAGGGAAAGGCAATTGGAAAGTTAATGCCTTTTGTGTGTGTGCTATCGTAGTATGAAAGGAAGTCCTAGAAGAATGTAAATAGTAATAATAGAAGCCATCAGACAACACATTATTATGTGGCTTCTGTGAACTGAGAATTAGAGGAGAATTTGTGTAGTGGACCATGGAAAGAGGTCTCCCCCTCCTCTGCCCTGTTTTTTATTTTATAAATTTCACACAAATATTCTTGTGAAGGTTTATGTAAATTTGTTTCTGGTAAGTGAATTTCATTTCTTATTGACCTATATCATCATTTTAGGTTATCTTTGACCTCATTTGTTATTCATCTTCATTTCCATTTGTTAATATTTGGCAATTCATCTCTCTGCCCCTTTTGACTAAATATTACTGTTCTTTAAACCAACTCTTATTAAATGAAAAATGCCAACTACTATTTAAAAGAAATGTTTTGGAAGATGAAGAAAAATAGTTTTTGGAATTTGATAAATTTTCCAGGGGTGAAGAAATCTCTCCCATCCCTCTTAATCCTGTCTTAGAACATCTTTATATAGTTCCTTGTATGAACCAATGATAATTTTTTTTATTGTTATGAGGATCATAGTTCTCTTTTAAGTCATAATCTCCTTCCTCTGAGAAATCCAAACCACAAAATCCAACGTGGTTTTAAGAACTAAGGATTTGAACTTGAAACACATGAATGTTTTAGTGGTAAAGTAGCTCCCTGGCACCTTGGTTTCCAGGAGCTGTTAGTACTGATTTGGAATTTCCATGTCAATAGAAAGGATTACTACCAACACAGCTAGGGATATTTAGTGGGTTTTTTTTTTGTTTTGTTTTAAGATTTTATTATTCATGAGAGAGAGAGAGAGAGAGAGAGAGAGAGGCAGAGACACAGGCAGAGGGAGAAGCAGGCTCCATGCAGGGAGCCCGACGTGGGACTTGATCCCAGGACTCCGGATCAGGCCCTGGGCTGAAGGTGGCGCTAAACCACTGAGCCACCTGGGGTGCCAGATACTTAGTGTTAAAGAAGTTTTTTTACCTCTTTCTCTACAGTTGGCTTAACTCCCTGGTACCAGTGTTTTCCAGACCAATCTATTGAAACCTGTCCTAATGATGAATTTATCATAATCTACTTGCCATAATACAAGCATGACTTTGGATTTATAAAATAAGAATACTAAATCTTCTTTTGGTAAAGCACTTAAGTACTAGTGAATCATTTCATACAGGTGGTGTTGATTTGCCTAATAGTTCGGAACATAAATTTGGTCTTGAGTGGTCCCAGTTTTAACCCTGCCACTTCCTAGTTGTTTGACCCTCTCTCTCTCTTAAGCCTGTTTCCTCATTTATAAAAATGGATACTAATATAAATCTCCTAAGGTTTTTGTTAAGATCAAATACGACAGAGGACGTAAGATGTTTATCACAATACCCGGCAACATTGTCAGCGCTCAATAGACGGCAGATTCAGCTTTCACCACCCTTTTCTTTTTTTTTTTTTTCACCACCTTTTCTTAATTTTCCATCTAGTTTCCTCCATTTGAAATACCAAACAACCCTCTTTCCTGTAGAGCTCCATGGATCTGTTAAGCTTTTGTCCAGCTGGAAATACTGGAAAACAATATTTAAGTCCCCCTGTTTCCTCACACCCACCCAAAATAATTGATATGGTAGTAATTGTTTCATAAATTTAAAGGCAAATGTGGGTATTGAAATTTGTTATGAAATAGTCTTAAGATGATCCAGGCTGTTTATATTAAGTTTGCTGTCTCTCTTGATTGGATGGGGGCCCCCCAATTGTGGGGCAATGATTGGGTGGAAGCCGGTGACATGGGCAGTAAAAAGATTCACACAAGGCAGAACATAGGAGATAGAAGTTTACTGAATACACTGCAATGGGGTGGCAGCAGAACAACAAAGAAAAAGATTGTGGAAGGAGGCAGTGGGTAGGGTCCGTTTTTAAAGGGGGAAGGTGAAAAGGTGTGACAATATATGGAATTTTCACTTTTTTGGTAACTGTGCCTGGTTGTAAGTAGCCCATTGGTTACTTAGGGCCTAGGGATATTTTGGGTGGGTTGCCCCATTGGCCTGTCTATATTCAGCCAGGGGTTGCTCTGGGCCCTTTCTACATTCCATTGCTTACCCTGTTTGCCTAAAAGCAGTCTCTACATAAAGCATTTTAAGATTAACACAGGAACAGAAATATAAAATGCTTAAAATCTTGTGGTTGTGAGATAGGGAAACTGAAGGACTATATAAAAATATGGTTTTTGCTCCTTTCCCTGCTTCCATTCTTGCTAGGACCTGCACCTCTACCTTATACCTGCAAATAGTGTATTTCCCTCTCCTAAGGGAGGGAGACTTGATTTCTTTAGAATAGATAACATCTAAGGAAGGACTAGATAAGAATGACTGACAAAGCTTTCATATGCATATTCTAGACTAGCAGAGATAGACTTCTCAAGGCCAAGACCCCCTGGCTTCAAACATCTGGGATCCCCAAAATCAGTACTTTTTAATGGAAACAACATGACCAAAAATCTGTCACAGAATTTTGAGACCCATTAAAACAAAAGTTCAATGAGGATAAAAAATAAATAAATAAATAAATCTACCAGCAATATTTCTCAGATCTTCTTTTCTCTTTTTTAAACTCCAATGAATGTGCATCAAAATATTTAATACCACTGCCAGCTCTGAGTAGAAATTTTATTTAAGTAAAACACCACTGCATTAAATTACTGTTAATAAAATTTAATTTGGTTTGTAGTTTGACTTATAAAGTATATACAATTATTTTAGCTTTATGACTGTATAAGAGGCACAAGATAAAGTGCTTTGTGTCTTCTTATATATTTGTACACAAAATATCAGTGGACACCAAGGGGGTCCATGAAATTTTTTTCTCTTGAAGGAGTGTAGCCAGAGGGATCTTTCTAAATTGCAAAACTAATTGTGTCTCCATTCTGATTAATTTTCTTCAGTCACTTTCTAATCTGTGTTTTGTGTTGACTATAAACTGTCCCTATTTAATAGCTTCATCTATTTTTACTTACAACGTATTTTCTTCCTTCCTCTCATTTTATACTTCAAGGAAACTGAGCTACTTGTTCCCCTTTAACATAACCTTCTCTCCTGCCTCTGTGTCTTTGTATGGATGATTCTGTGTTCTTGGTACATATTCTCTCCAGTGTGTCAGTCTGGCACAATCAGTTTTCAGATCTTACTACTGGAAGACTTCAATACTAGCCTCCGACTTCCCCACACTGACCTGTGGGTATGGTCTATGTCTATCTTTCCACTTTATTAATTAATTTATACAGTCATTAATTTCCATCCATGGAAATGAGTGTGGGAGTAGGTATTGTATAGTGGTTAAAAGTGCTGGCTCTGGCATCAGATTGTCTAGGTTCAAATCTCACCTGCCACCTCCTAAACATGTGACTTGATAAGTTGCTTACCCTTTCTACTTCTCAGTTTCCTTACTTATAAAGTGAAAAGGATAAAAAAAAAAAATCTACCTCTTAGGGTTGTTAGGCAGATTTAAGTACACTCTTATTTTTATGTAACTTAGCATAGTCTCTGGCCCATGGAATACCTGCTTTATGCCAGGCACCACGCTAGGCTCAGGGGATATAGGTGTGTCAAGACAGTCATGGACATAGTAATCCCTTCTTTATGGAGCTTGAAGTCTAGTATGAGAGAATGACAAAAACACAACAAAAGAAATAAAAAGAAAAATTAGAGTGTGATTATTAGTAAGAAGGAAATAAACCAGGTGAGAAGACAGAGAAGAATGGGATGGAAGAAAATAAGGTAGTCAGGGAAAAACTCTCTGCCGAGACATTTAAGCTGCCCTGAATGATGAAAAAGAGACAGGTTCTGAAACATGGGGGCCGGTGAGAGCTGTGAGTTGTGGGGGTAGATTGTCCCTGAGTTGGGAGAGAATTTGACTTCTGTGAGGACTTGGAAAAGCTGGTGTGGCTAGAGAGTAGTAAGTAGGAGTGTGGTGGAGATGAAGTAAGAGAGGGATACACTGGAAAGTTTAAACTGGGAAGTGGCATGACATAGTCTATATTTTAAGATGATCCGTCTGGAAGCTGAGTCTAGAACGGATTGGAGGAGGATAACAGAGAGGTATAGAAATGGAGTAATGTGGTGGCAAGGGTGACAAGGAGAAAGGATAGAGAGATTTGTAATATATTTTAGTGTTGGAATTAATAGAACTTGTTGATGAATTGGATACTGGGAGGTGTAAATTAAGACTACTAACAGGTTTAGATGGATCAGAAATGCAGTGTCTGAGGCACCTGAGAGTAGCTGTCAAGACAGTTGGATCTGAGCACAAAGGAAAGGACTAGTGTAAATATAAGAGTAATCAGCATACCAGTGATATCGTAAGCCACAGAAATGCTTTAATCACTTAGAAACATGGTAGAGAGAAAAGAGAAAGCCCAGGTCTGAGTCCTGAGGAGGGAGAGGCTGCCAAGGCTATGGAGATGGAGCCAGCATTGATGCAACAGCCAAGCCAGGTTGTATTATGCTGGGTATTTTCCATTTGCACCCACTCCACCCATACCCTTGGCTCTTCTCTGTGCCCTTTTGGGAATGATGTATAGTTAATACATCCACCTCCGTGTCTCTTTTTTTTGGTTGGGTTAACCAATGAGAGACACCCACAGGAGATCAGAGGGTAAAGTGAAAGAGAAACTAAAAGTATAAAACCATAATTCCGTATGCTGTAGCAGTGACTACAACCACCTATCCCTACATCATTTGCCAGGTTGTCCTACTTGTTTGGCTCTA